AATGCTCAACATAATATGGCTGCTTAAAAGCCTGACTTTGTAAGGGCAGCTTTAGACTTAAGATGGGATTCCTGACCTGATCAGGAATCCAGGTTGTAAGCCCTGCTTCCCAGGTACACCTCAGGAAGGCTAACCTGAAAGGCCTGTCCTTTGGGGCACACCAAGACATGCTAATGTCTGCCTTCCTTTTAGGTTCTTTCTGTATCGTGTTGTCCTAACTCCGTTCAACCCTTTTGCTTTGTTCTCAGGCGCCTTTAGCAAACTGCCCAGTGATTCCCCAACCTGGGAGGTAATAAAAGCACCTTGCACAGAACTAGCGGTCCCTCTGAGGGCTGCCTACCTGCCACATGCACTTCCTGTTTGTCTGAATACACTGCAAATACTCTTTTGCATGTACACCCCTGGGGGACTGTCTTTGGCTGTTTCTGCTTTTCACTCCCGTCACCTAACACCTGTTGCTTTCTGCCTTTTCTTCCACCTGAACAATGACCAGACACTGATTTGAATAGGCAAGAGAGGCTCAGCTGGGATTTCAAACTTGTTGGTCGAGGCGTTTAGCATGCCAAGCGACACCATTCTAAACCACATGCCCATCACGGGGCTTGCAACAGATCCAGAAAAAAGGCAGGTTTGTTCTTTTTCCGGCAGAGTCAAGTGCAGAAAGCAGCTGGCAAGTTGGCAGTTCTCAGCTGCAGCATCAAGTAATTGGGAGCAGCGAAGAGATTCTCAGTCGTGACTTTTGACGTGGGTTGCAAAAATACACAACCCGGGAGGGTATTTTGGCCTAAGAACATCAAGGTGGTGACTGATTGTGTCTGGCCAGCCAGCCAAGGTAAGGGTGGGAATTTCATTTCAGATCATTCTTAATAAGAATTTGCAGTTTTTCATATTTGGGGAGGCAAAACGTGAGGTTTTTAACAACAAAAATAGAACTGGCAAATTGGTCCATCTGGGCTCAGGGTTGGGAAGACTTTGCTCCTAAAAGTCTGGGTTTGAATTCATGGTACTCAACCATGCCAGTGCGGTACAGTGGTTAGAGCACTGGACTAGGACGCGGGAGGTCCTGGGTTCTAGTCCCCGCTTGGCTGTGAAGTTCACTGGGTGACTTTGGGCCAGTCACTGAAGCTTATCTTGCAGGATTCTGGTACAGGTAAAATGGAAAAGAAGAGGACCAAAATGTACCCTGCTTTAGGGTTCTGGCAAAGAGGAAGGGTGGGACATGGCCCTATTAGTGACTGGAATAGCCAGCTCTTTTTCTAACCAGTCTGAGGCTGGGAATAGCTGTGTCGATTTGACAGGCCTGGTGGAGGTACAAAGGCCAGTTCAGCTCACTGCCGAGCAGAGTTTGCCAAACTTTGCACGGAGTTCTTCATATTGCAGAGAGAAGGAACGTGAGGTGTAAGAAAGGGGAATTCAAGAGAAAGAGCATCCCCAAACGGCCATTGGGATGATTCTTCTGTGATCATAAAGGTTTTGATGCTTCTACACAGAGGGAGGGACGGTCCCTTCCCTTGCCACTGCCAGCCAGCCAACTCTGCTGGAAAGATGCACGCCAGCTTTCTACAGCCAGTGTTAATCACGGTGTTTCCGCAGCTTTGCCTGCCCCCCTTTCTGGGAGCGGCTGCTGACGGCCACCCCACCTGCCTGAAGCACCGCATTGCGCCTCCAAGCCTCCTGCAGCAACAGATCTTGCAGGCCAATTTTATGGAGCTGCATTGCCAGCATCTGCAAGGAAGATGCTGCACAGATCGCCTCTAACTGGGAAGCCGGATTGTGGAAGGAAAGAGGACACGCTGTGCAAAAATTCAACAGTGGGAGCCAACGTCTTTGGAACCTCAAGGGGGAACGCAACCGGCGTGCTGCGGAGAAGCGGCAGATGGAGCAGGGTTGCGCGTCTCTGGGCTGCTATGTTTTGGAAAACACGTTTCTCAGGAGCTCTCCCAACATTTCATGTTGTGCACTGCTTGTTCTTGGTGAGTTCAGAGGTTCTGCATTCAACTCTCAGTCTAGCCCTGAGTTTCCTAGGAAAACTTGAGAATCTGGTTTTCCTCCAAGTACTCCAGCCTGAACACAGACTTCCTTGTTGCTTCCTGTGAAATTCCTGCTTTTCCCATTCCTGTCTGTCTATCTAGATGTTTGTCCATCTGTTCTCTTACAGAAAGGGATATGTCCCATGATCAGTGAGCTCGGATTTTGCCATCTGGGCTAGTGTTTGTGGGTTCGTCACACTCCTCTCTGTCCATGCATAAGAACACTGTTCTAATTTCAAATTTGTTTTACCATTAGCCACACATGCTACCTGCTCAAACAGCAACAACAAAAGATTCAAGCGCACCTTTCCCGGAAGGTGTCCCGTTGGTGTCACATCGGAGAGCCCAGAACTGGAGTGTGCTTCCACACTGGGGGTCTGGCATGGAATTGTCACGTTTTGTGCATTCGTTTTTTCCTGGTGTGTCCATACCCCAGTCATCCTAAATTTTCCTGTTGTCCTTCACATTCCTGTTGTCCTTTTTCCAAAGTTCAGAGAGCCCAACATTTTTCAAAAAGTAGGGAAAGTAACAGAATTTACAAGGGTGAAATATCACAGCTCCACAAATTCATGCTTTTCTTTACTGTGGGAGGCAGTTCTTACCCTGTTCTTGTTTCTTCGTCCGTCTTTTAACTAAGGGGATGGAAGTTAGTGAAGAGGCAAAACAAAATGAGGGAAATCACTATTTATTGGGCAATTTATGCCACTATAGCCAAGTTGATTACAAAGAAAGCAAGAGCAGCACCTCTGGTCCACCTAGGAATCTTTCCAGAGAGTGCATTTACAGAGCAAAAATTGTGCTGTTTTGAACTTGCCTGTTTAGAGACTTGCCTAGAATGCACACTACAAGTCTCTAAACATTCGAATAATAATAGCTTAAGGCTGGGAAAATCCCGTTCCCTCCCTACCCTTTCCATGCTTTCAAAAGCAGAATGGAGTCTACCAACGCTCCTTTGCTAGATTCTATGTCCGACCAACAGCTGTTACCAAAGAGAGCTATCAAAAATTCCCCTTTGAACAGAGACTGTGTCCGTGTGGGGGAGAAATAATGGAATCCCTGGGACATGTTATTCTTTCTTGCTGTCGCCAGTACTTGTTATTCCCACTCTTTTCTAAATATCCTGGTCATTCTGATTCTTTTTGTCTTCAGATGCTTTTACCTGACCAATCTGATTTTATCCCTTTGACCACAGCCAAGTACTGTTCAATAATCTGTACAGTCGACTGTAGAGTCAACTCTAAATGCTGTTAGCCTTTTTGTAGAATAATTGTCTTTTTCTGTATCTTAATGAACCGTAAATTTAGAATCACTGTATTTTCCTTATTTTAACTAATTGTAAATTTGTATTTCATTTGCTGGTCAATGCATGTGCCACAACTCCGTCATACACCAGTGATGAGTGACCAAACTTCCCTTTTCTCCATATTTCTGACATTTCCTGCTTATTTTAAGCGGCCCATTTACTCACAGTGACTCTTAAAATGCACCCACAAAATATGCCACACATCAGAAAGGTGCCCTCCCTGAACTTAAGCGAGACCGTGGCACTTTGAGATTATGCCGCTTAAAAATGATCCTGAAACGTTTCTCTCGTGAGCTCCTGTCCAGGTTCCATTTTGCCTTTTCCAGAAATGAAAGGCACCAGCTCACTTTATTATTATTTTTTAAGAAAGCTCCCGAAAGCCAGCTTGCACTTTTCTTCCTTTCCTTTGGGTTCCAAGCGGGTGGCTTGCAGGGAGCGCCAAGTGAGAGTCGCGGAGCATTTGATGCCGTGGAAAGCGGCTGAGCTCCTGGGAAAGCAAGGAAGCCTGCTTCATCTCAGCCGGCTATCCGGAGTGGGCAGCTTTTTCTCCCCTTTAAGGTTACAAGTGAGGAGTGAAGAGAAACTCCGCCTGCGCTCGCACGGCCCTTCCGAGTTCAACTGCACCAGCGACGCGGTGTGAGGAGGAGGTTCAAGTTGCGTCAAGGAGCGTCGTGGAGAAGCGAGACACGCCACTTCCCCAACGACCGTTTTTCTTCTGCGAGCCACAAACCTGCGGACTCAGGTCGCCTTGCACCACTCGAAACGACCGCAGCTGCGGGCCGAGGGAGCTTGGGCAACACCTGCCAACCCGTTGCTCTTCCTCTGCAAACCGCCTTGCTTGGTTGGGGAGTCACAGAAAGGCAGCAGGTTGCTAGCGGTTTGGATTATTGTGTTATTTTCACCTTTGCAAAGGGAGAAAGGAGAAAATAACCCGGCTGACACAGAAACAGAGAAACAGAGTGAGTCAGAAGGGGTCTCCTGGGCCATCTAGTCTGACCCCCGGCTCCACCATGTGCCTGTCTCATGCCCTGACCTTCAGGGCTATGCTCTTGGCAGAGCAAAGTGCTGTTCACTTTTGCATCTCAGGCATCAAAATGCAAGCGCCCCTCTTTAAAAATGAAAAAAGTAAAATAATTATGCGCTGCAGAAGGAATTATGTAAAAGAAGAGACTGGGGCAAATGTCTGCCGCCAATTGGCAGTTCAGGCAGCCGGATTGGGAATGCTTCCCATCTGATTCTCATGTGAGTGTGCCTTCTCTGGACTCGAGCTTAGCTGCAGTTTGATCAGACAGGCCACCTCTGGATTCCTCTGTTACAAAACGGATTTTCGGTCGATTCACAAACTGTACATAGGTTGGCAAAGGCCACTTTTCTCAGAGAAAAGATGGGATTGTAGCTGCTCCAAAGATTATTTAATTTCCCCCACAAAAGGCTTGCCGTCTGGGTCATGGGCAAGAATGTTCCCTTAAACAGATTGTTCAGTGACCAGGCTGCTTCAAGAGCAACGGTTACTTTTGGAAAGAGAGCAAATTATTTTCTGGTACCACATCGGTAGCGCCAGGTACACAACCCCAGGACCCAGCTAACTCCAGGGTGCTCTCTCAGACCATGCTGGGAAAGCTAAAAAGGGGAAAAAGAAACAGAGGCAAGTCTCAAAATGGAATGGAAAAGGTATAGGCAGAACTTTAATAAACAATAAAATGGTTTCTAATAAGGTCATGTCCCTAAAAAAAATAATAAATGGCACTCTTGTGTCCTCAAAGAAGTTTTCCTACAAAATACACTACTGTGTTATTAAAGTCCAACACTTTTTTCCTGTACCATTTTGTTGATTGCCTTTTATTTGTTTATATTTGGCCCTGCCCTGTTCTTTGTTTTATTTCTATGTTTAGTTAGTTATTTTTAAATTTATACACTGCCCCCTGGTCACAATGGATTGTCTAGGCAGTTTATGATAAGATCGATAATAATGAATGCTAAAAACAACAATAAAACCAATTATAATAAAATCACACTAATTTTAACACTAAACATTATCATTATATCAAGTAAGCAGGACAAGAAAGTAACATCATTAGTTCTCAAATCAATTAAAATACTCAGAGAAGAAAAATGTCTTCACCTGGTGCTGGAATGGTGCCCGGAGAATTTCTCTGGGGAGCCTATTCCACAATCGAGGGGCCAGCCACTGAGAAGGCCCTTCCATTCACCATCCCTTGTACCTCCTTCTGAGATGGCTCTTCGAGAAGGACCTCCTGCCCCCATCTCAATGGGTGGGTCTGTATGTGGGAGCAGATGGCCCTTTGGGTAGCCAGATCCTAAGCCATTTAGGGCTTTATATGGCCAGACAATCACGTTATGACATTTGCCTATTTATCCATCCAGCTCCAAGGTTTCCAGCAGGAATCCTCTCCCAACCCAGCCTAGATTTGCCAGGCACTGAACCTAGAAAGCAGCTCAGCAAAGAAGGTGCTTCCATGTCACTAAGTTACAGCTCTTCTCCCAGAGTTTTTACCAAGCAGGTGGGAGGAAAGAACTCGCCGGCCCCAGAGAAAGAAGGAAAGCCACAGCGGAGGCAGCTAAGCTACATGTTGCCTCAAATGCGCCGCACACAGCAATGCGTTTACCTCCGAGTAAGTGCATGTGGACATGCGAGGAATCAGGGAAGGCCGATCAGCTCCACGTAGCGCAAACCAGTGTTGAGGGTGGGGTGTTGCTTGGCCGGAGCCAAGCTGCAGACCCCTCCCTGAGCCCCAGATCTTTTCCCTAGTGCCCAGGGAAGGTTTTCGTTCAAGCATCAACATTTGTGGCTGCGGGGGAAAGAGACTTCCTTATCATGGGAAGCAAGAAGAACTGGGAGGGCGGAGAAGGGGGCTTGTAACGCAGTGGGGGCCATCGCAGTGGCTTGTAACTGAGAAGCAGCTCCTGGTTTGGGATGGTGGGTAGAACGTGATTTGTGAATTTAATGTACTTGAGATATTTTCATGAGAAACTGATTCACTGGTTTTGCCTTCCATGCAACTCAAGTACAGGCTAATTATTTCTAAGCTTGCATATACAGAGGAAAATTAGAACAGGCACAATTGATGAAGATTTGTCTACTATGGCCTTGGACCTTTGAAAAGCCAGCGATTCTCCGCTCCAAAGCCAAGCCTTCCCATATCACATCTCTTAGTTGCTTGGCCATAAGAAGACCTGAGTATGGTTCTAGCCCTCAAGGTTGTAGCTTTAGACATGTAACATGGAGGGGGAATGGCAACGGTCTTCAGCGGTAGCCCACCGCACCTCCTGCTGCCCCGCCCGGTCACCCCCCTTGCCACGTGGGTCTGCTAAAGATGGCGGCTTGTTTTGGCCATGCGAGGATGCGCTTCGTGCAGCTGAGAAGAAGAGCGAGCTTCTAGGAGGGGAGCGTGGCTTCCTCGGTGGCGTCTCGGACACTTTTCAAGAAGCTGAGCAGGCCTGACCCCCCGGTCCCTCTCCCCTCCAGGCAAGATAAGGGGTTGATGGACGAAAGGGCGGGCTTGTCCTTGGCGTTGCGGCCAGCGATGATGACGTACTTGGTGACCATGGCGATGTGGTAGGTTCTCAAGTCGGAGAGCGCAGCCACGCACTTGTTGTACGCCAAACGGAGCCGCTCGCTGCCCGAGCGGGACACGTGACGCCGGAGCGGGGGCGCTCGCCGGAGCTCCTCGATGAAAGCCCGGTGGGGCCGCGGCATGTAGTCCCTCATGCTGTGCAAAAACGCGGCTGCACAGACACACAGAAGGGTCACTGCATGGGACGCGGGGGCAGAAGGCCGGTGCCGGCGCCACGGGCGGGCAAGGCCAGCAGCGCCTCGAGCGGCCCCTGAGGGGACGCGCCACTCCAGGCCGCACCTCAGTCTTCTCCCTGCTTCCCATGCCTCCCTGTGCCCCCTCTGCGCTTCCCCATGAACTCAAGTGGGGCCCCCCCCCCGCCCCCGGCAAGGGCCTCCCCTCTCCGGCTGTTCCTTCCCACTGGAATCCTTGACCTCTCCTTCATCTCCCGCCCATCTCCTGCTGGGTCAGAGCTGCCTCCCAGGCGCCTTCACGAGTGCCTCTCCGTCTGGAAGCTTCCACGACCAGGCCTGCTTGCTCTGCCCCACCCTTAGCCTCCTGCTCCTCAGAGCCGCCCACTGAAGGTGGACCTCTGAGGGGCTCAGCTGGGCATCTCCAGCAGTCCAAAGGCTTGGAAGCCCCGGGCAAGTGCAGCTCCAACCAGGCGGCGCATAAAGCACATGACAAGCACTGCTGGATCCAACCAGTGGTCCCCCCAGTCCACTCACCCAGTGGCAGGCTGCTGCCCAAGGGAACCACCAAGGCCTCCGCCTGCCCAAGCTCCGTGGCAACTGGGCTATGCAGCTGAAAACGCCTCCAAAAACAGGGATACGGTAGCTCCCAGTCAGAAAGGCCGGGAGCCACGGCCCGCCTGCTCTCCGTGAGTCAGCCCAGTCCCCTCTTGGGGCCACCATCGCCACTTCCCGTGGCAGTAAAGAAGGGCTTCCTTTACCTGCCCACCCGTCGCCTTCATGGGATCACCCCACTGGGCTCTAGGACTATGGGAGTCGCAGGTGCCTCCCTCTCCGTTCCTTCACACCACGCCTCATTTCGCGCACCTCCCTCATCCCTCCCCTTCCTCGCCCTTTCTCTAAGCTACACAGCAAGTGGCTGCAGCTGCTCCTCGCAGGAAGGCTGCTCCGTGCCCTGGATCACTTGGGTTGCCCTCCTCTGTGCCCCCACGGAGCTCAGGCTGCTGGACGCCAGGTGGGCCTACCTCTCCGAGCCACAAAGGCAAGCCAGGTTAACCACAGGTTAACAGCTACCTGACCACAACCAGCGAGCCCTACTTCTCAGCTGTGAAACTCGCCTGGAGACTGATCGCCAGGCACTGATTCTCAGCCTGGCCTGCCTCACAGGGTTGTTGTGCTGCGAGGATGTAATGGAGAACAGGGGGGTCCTGCAAGGGGGGGCCACCTGGATTCCTCGCAGGAGGGTGGAAGGCGGGGCATTCACGCGACTACACAAGCTCACCGCTTTCCCTGCAGTGCTGGACGCCAAGGAGCTCGTCAAAGGCATGCAGCGTGGTGCTTTGAGCTGCGCTCCCCCCGGAGTACGCCAGGGGCTGATCGCAGAACCCCTCGTAGATCAGCCCTTCCGGCAGGGACGGGTTGTCCTTCCAGCTGGAAGAAAGGAGAGGCAGGGAGAGATTACCGGGGCACTGCAGGCTCCCGTGGGGCAGCGGACGCTCTGAAGGAACGTCTGCTGTTCCAGAGCACAAAGCCGCACCAGCAGCAGAATGGGGAGCTCGTTCTGGGCCCCTCCGTGGCCTCACGAAGGACCCCAGGCTTCACCCAGTGCTGGGGCGCCTTGCTCCTGCCTCTGTGCTGCGCTTCACAAGCACTTCTCCATCCCTGATGGGTGAGAACAGTGCGAGTAGCACCAAGATTGCGTGCCAGGCCGATTTCAAAAAATCCTCTGAGCATGTGCAGTTTTGCCATTTAAATCTGTTTACAGCAAAGTTGCAGTTGGTCCACAGGAATCACGGGCAGCTTCTGGCCGCCGCCACCCACCGCCCCGGCGGAGCTTGCTGGGCCCTCTTGGGGCTGCGGGCCCTGGACTTTGGCCATAAGGTCCGTGTCTAGGCACACATGCCCTGGGTGTCTCTGAGTGTATGTGGTGCGTACTTGAACCCGGAGCCTGTGTGTGCACACCCCGCCTCAGCTTTGGGTAGCAGGTTTGCAGGGAAGTTTGGGCAAGCTGCTAAAGCCGGGTTTTCTGACTGACTGCTTTCTGAAAAACATGAAATCAAGCATCTTTTGCAAAAGCCGATGGGGAAGCAGTAAGGGCTGGCTGGCTCTTGCCTAAATTGTCAAGTTTTACTTTAGACAGTCCTAGCCCGTTCTTCTTCTCCTGGGGTGGGCGGGGGGCCAACCTGTGAACCCAGGACCTTACAAAGCCCCGAGCCGAATGGCAAAAGCCCTCTGAAAGCCCCCAGGAGTTCAGACTCCTGGTTCGTGTGTTCTGTACCTCTCCCAGCAGCCTGCTGGATGGGCAGGAGAGGGCAGGAGAAAGGGGGTGTCGCAGAGAAAGGGGGTAACCCCTCATTCTCATCTGGCCCTGGGTCCATCCAAAACGGCCTTTGCATGAGGCCCCCGCCAGGAACAGAAGTCGGGTTTAGAGCTCTCCGAGTGACAGGCAGCCAGAGCACATGCACGAGCCCAGTAGTGTGGCGGTCCCTCCCCGCCGCCATGCGCCAGCTTTCCAGGCGCGTGTTTGGCACCACCGAAGGCGCAAGAGCACACGGCGCCGCCTGCCCCCAGTGAGCGAGGCGAGCCTCCGAGCAGCAGCGCTTCACCTTCAGCAGGTTCTCCGGCAGCGGCCAAAACGGAGCAGCCCGGGATGCCGGGCGGGAGCAGCCGGCTGCCTCTACAGCCTCCGCGTCCCCTGCCGGGGACGCATTGCGGGAGCCGCGCTTCCTCCAGAATCGAGGCCCGCGCGGCGGAGGAGCCCGGCCGTGAGCGCGCTCCTGAGCCTCCTTGCCCCCTGCCCCCCCCCCCGCCAGGTGTTGGCGAGACTGCCGGAGACCAGCAGGTCTATTTTTAGGCTGCTGTTTGGTGAAAACGGTCGCACACGCAGAGCGAGCGGCCGCCGGCGCCGCATTTGTGCCAAGCGGCGCGGGCGCTGTGCGGCGGGGCGCTCTGCCGTGCGGGGCCCTCTTGACCACCGCTCTGCTCAAGGCGAGGCGCCTTGGAGGAAGGCAGGGCCGTGCCCTCCGCTGACCGTGCGAAGGCTCGTCCGGGGCCGTGGATCGAGGCCAAAAGGTCGAGGATGGCGCAGTGCGGTGTGTCGGCTCGGCAGAGACCGTACTAGAGACCCTGGGAGGGCAGGCCCGGATGGTGGGCGCAGTTCAGGGCTTCCCCACCTCCTTCTTTTGTACGCGGGGAAGGGAAAAGGTGGAGGAGTAACAAACCCTCGTTCTCAGCACCCCTCTGGGCAACTGTGCGTTTGTTTGTTTGTTTGTTTGTTTGTTTGAAAGCTTTTCTATCTCGTCCCCTACAAATGGCTTACAATAAATTTCATTGTGAATGCCAGAGCGGCTGAGGAAAAGGGGCTTCCTGGGCCCTTCCAAGAGCATCACATGGGGCAGTGGGCCACCGGTCCCCAAAACCTCTCCACTCACCAGCAGCTCCTCAGGTAGGAAAGCCCTTCCCCATCCCCAGAGTTCCTAAAAGGGCCAAGGAATCTCTCATATTTAAGCTGCCCCCTTAAATATGTGCCGTGTTGCAGTGGAGAAAGATTCAATGGCAAATGCACAGGGATGCCTGGGCCGCTGTGCAGATTCCCTGAGGAAAGTAATTGTAAAAAGTGCTGCATAGGTAAGGTTCTAGTCCCTATTGGGCCATAAGGCTCACTCTGAGCCAGGTGTGCACTCTCAGCTCTGCCTACCTCACAGGGGGGTGGTTGTGAGGATAAAACAGAGCTATGCAAACTGCCTTGGGGTCCTCACGGAAAAGGTGGCAGTGAGGGAGAGGAAAATGGCAGCACACCGTGCTGGGGGGTGCCATTTTAATTTCCCAGAATGCCCCCGAATGGGTCTTCCTGAGCACCATGGGAAATTTTAAATAACAGGTCATATACACTCAGCCCTGCAGGATCTGCCGGCAATTCTCCAAGGCGCAAGGGGCCTGCCAGAGTCCAATCTAAAACGGCTCTGTGACGCTTCTCCCCCCGTCTCTCTCTCTCTCCGCCTCCCCTGCTCTAATTCTCCTTTATTCTCCTTTCTTTTCCGGGCCAGGCCGCATCACTCCTTAGTCCTAAAGGATATCACATAACCTACTTCCACTTACAATTAAAATCAGAGGCCTGGAAACCGAGCTCCCATTGCAGCCGTTCAGGGAGCCCGCAGTCTCCAAAGTGCAGGTCCCTGCATAGGAGCCAGGCTCCAGCCCCTTCTGGGCATCGTCTCCCCGCACACCACACCCCCGTTGCTGCTTTAAAGCATCCAAGATTTAATGAGGGCTTAATGAGGGAGTCCGATCAACTGGAAAGCAAAGAAAGAGCTTGATCTGGCCCCAGGAAAGGGAGGAAGTGCTTCTACTTTCCGTCACATTCTTTGGAACACAAGAGGACGTGAGGAGCGGACAGGAAAACCGTCACCTCTTCCCCCACTGCTCTTGCCTACGGGCCATGATCTATTTCCTGGCTGGAAAGACTTGCTCTGACATCTGGGCCAGCAAAGGTGCATACCAGCTTCAATAAGCAAGATTCCCAAGGAAAAAGACAGGTTTTGTAGAAGTGCGAAGGAAGGACACGGCTTGCTTGCTTGACCTGCCATCTGAAACTAAAATTATCCTCTGCTCAGCAATCGGTGGTGCATGAGGGTTGGGCCGTGGGGCCTGCAGCCCACAGAAGGAGGCCACGGGATGAATTTCAAGCTAAAATGTGCTTGTATTTCTGCATTTTGGGCCCAGTCCTGTGGCTGGAGGAGAGCTTTGAAAACTCCCAGTGGACCAACGGAAAGAGGGTCCTAGAGAAAAGCAAGCCCGAGGTTTCCCTAGAAGCAAAAGCCAGACAGATGAGGCTGCCCTACTTCGGCACATCATACGAAGGCCAGACCCCCTGGAGAAGACAGTCCTGCGGGGGGAGGTCCTCTCCAGGGAAGCAGAGAAGTCTTCTCTAGGGAAGGCAGAAGGCAAAGGGGAAGGCCAAATATGGGATGGATGGAATCCACCAAAGAAGCCACGGCCTTGAGCTTGGACGAGCTGAGCGGGGCCGTCGCGGGCAGGACAGCTGGGAGGGCCCTCGATCATAGGGTCGCCATAGCTGCCTAGGAAGGCCTCGGCAGTTATAGGTAGCCTATAAATACCTGTATAAACAAATAACATACACATATACATCAATAAATCAAAGGTGGCTTGATGGCATGTCACACACACCGGTGCCCTTTAATCCACCTACTGTTAAACTAGAGCCCAAGTGCATCCCTGAAAGAGATTTTGGCACTGCAGCTGAAAGGGGTTAACCACATCTGCCTCGGCTCCTTCTCATCAAACTTGTTCCTGGCAAAAGGAGCAGACCCTGTACTTACCCAGAAAAAAAGGTTCGTGTCACACCATAAAATACAGAAGGATCCACATAATCTGGGGTATAAAAAAACAGATTAATAGCTCCAGTCTATTAATCAGCCGATCAATTTTTGATTTCCCACACTGTGAATCATCTCTTTGAAATATTAAACTGGAGGATAGACAATTTCATGTCCTCCAGATATTTTCGAATCCAATTCCCATAAAGCTGGACCAGTGTGGCCGATGGGCAGGATATAATTCTAGTCGAAATCAAGTTGACAAGGAAGCCAAGTTGCTTTTTCACAATAATGCCTCTAGGCCTGCAGCCAAACTGTCGGCTGCTTCTTTCCAAACAATGCACCCCTTCGGGTTCCCTGGGCTCCACAGTTCCGGGTTGCAGGTGATTCCTCCAGCCCATTTAGCCTCCTGTTTCTCTTCCCCTTGGCCTGCCCGCTGCGTGTTCCAGCCCCACTTGAATGGGCTGCGCAACTTGGAAGCGTGTAAGGAGCTGACGCCTGTGCCACTTCCAGCACCCCCGGACATATTGGTGCAACCAAGTACCCATGCGAGGATCAACTGAAAGCTACTGTTCATGGGGGCCCTGGTCCACCCCGGCTTCCATTCTGGGTGTTGTGGGAGCCGTCCAAGGTGCTCCACGATGGAAGCGCGATGGTGCAGGTGGCGTTCAGCACTAGGACAGCTCCAGGACAGCTCAGAATGCTGTCGGGGTGCAGAAGGGGGCCGGAAACACGGGAGTCACCTGCGCCCTGCCTCTCCTGCTGCAAAGTGTTCTGGCAAATACTAGAAAGGGGGTTGATTTATTTATTAGAGTGGATTAAGGCCACCCATTGGCATGATGCTCACGACATTTCCCAGAGCTCCTCGTAGGAGTGGGGTAATGCAAAGGATGTTCAGCTGCACTCTGGCTTCCGAAACGGCACCAGGGCTTCTCCAACCAGGCACAGAGCACGGAGGAGCAGAGTGGGAGGGGCCAGAGGGCCATCAGGTGCAGGACTCCCGGCCCAGCTCAAGCATTCCTCTCAGATGGCTGTCCGATTACAACTCATGGGCATTTTCAAACCCTCTCTTGGCTCTATGGACTAGTAACCTCCTTTTAAAAAGGACGTTCCTCAGAAATGGACAACGGCACCCAATTACAGAGTATCAGGCTTTTCTGTGTTTCTCCGTCATTGCAGTTTGCCCGTCAGTCCAGCGCTCCAGTTTCCTCTGTTCTGCAAACTTCGGCCTTCTCTCCCCCTGTTGCTCTAAGAGCTCCCACGCACCACGTCCCGCGTCCAAGTGGGACGTCGCAGGCTTACCGTGCATTTTCTTCAGAGCTCTGGTCATGTCTCTGAGTGAGTTTGCCAGTTCGTGTAATGCTTCCTCCATGCTCCCGTTATCAAGTTGATGGATGGCGTTAACGGCTTGCACCATGGCCTAAGGGTGGAGGCAAGAGAGCAGCTGAGTTCATACCACAGAAGACGTCATTCGGCCTGGTTCCCGTGGTTCACAGTCTTTTACCGTTAGGTACACAGAGGCTAGATGGCCAGAGAGGCTCTGGCAGTTGCCACTCTTTCCCACGGGTTCTGTGGTAGGTGCGTACCATGACTATGGAAAACATGAGCCTGGGTTCAGACATTGCCACAATACATGGTGGTACAGAGAAACCATAGAACAAACCATGGTTTCTTAGCATGGTTTCTAAAGACCAAACTTACCCTGGTGAAATACTATGACGGGGTTCAGACAACACAACAGGCTTGTCATGTTGTCTAAACACAGCCAGAGAATTGCATGCTGGGAGTCTGTGGCTGAGTATGATCATCATTATTTCTTTTTATACATTTCCATAAGCAATCCTTACATTTCCATACATGAGCTTTCTGACCTATTCAAGATATCCCAAATTTGGTTTGTGCCTCACCCCAGAATTAATCCTTCAGCAAAGAAGGTGGTAAGGAATTCATTCTTCTATCCAGGAAAAATCCATAACCATATTCATCACACGATAATCCGTATCTTATTTTTGCACTGAAAAATCTACCACCCATTGGCAGTACATCCGCGTTGTTAGCCAGGCTTTTGCCAGCAAAATGTTTGCTGCCAGTAACCAAAACCCTTACGGCATATTCTCTAGAAATCTGATCTTTAATTTCCCCTGAAAGTCTGATTCAAGAAGTTCATGGTCATTCATAACCCATAATGTCTCTGAGACGATGTCTGAAGGCCACAGAGCAAACAGCCAAATACTTTGCTCTCCTCATTATGACAGGACTGTACTTAATGAATGAATTAAAGTAACTGTTACTGGAAAATAAATGGCATGGTTACTATTTCTAATGCAAAACTGATTGCTGATTTAATGTTGCATACATATGTTTAGTTTAATTCATCTTTGTATGATTGGTTGAATTGCATGTTCTGCTCTATTTATTTTTTATGCTATCATTTATCCTCGTTTTATTGTTTTGTTCTAATTGTGGTTTTTATGTATGGAAAGTGCACATCTTTTAATCCTGCAGATATTTGTTCCTGTTGTGAAAACTCTGCTGGAGAGGCACTTGAGCGTGACGGCTGGCGTGTCAGGCAGGGACCTGGCAGGTGTGAGCTCTGGTCCTGCAACCGTGAAGCTTCCACTCACAGACTCGCAGCCTAGCCTACCTCGCTGGGTTGTTGTTGCGAGGATAAGACTGAAAAGAAGAGCTGCCTTGGGCTCCTTGCAGGAGAACAAAGGGCAGAATATAAATGCAAAGTAGTGATAGTCTCACTGGGGTACGGTAAGGAAAATGGGTCATTATTTGCACAGGTAAATTGCTTAAGTGTGTGTGTGTGTGTGTGTGTGTGTGTGTGTGTGTGTGTGTGTGTGAAGTTCAGTCCTAATACATTTTTAGACAAATGAAACACACATCATCCTATATGTCATCTGCAATTGATATACAGTACTAAATTCTTATTCACAACATTGCTTAATTACACCAGCTCCACTGTTACCCCTCCTGTGAATATGTCATTTTGTTTGCTGTTACACGAGGATGTGGCTCCAGCCCTGCTCTGCCTTGGACTAGTTCCTGGGCAAGTGACTTTTAGCCTCACCAGCTTGACGTCTAGGAGTTGAGGGAATCGCCATACTGCCCATGGCGCCATCTTGTGAGAGTGCTCATGACACTTTCTCAACGTTCCAAATATGCTCACCAGCCCAAAAGGGGGAGGAGCCCACATGGATGGAGAGAGGGAGGTCTGCAGCATGGGGAAATTTGCATTTCTCCTGCCCAAATGCTGGTGCAAGTCTGTGTAAATCCCCTCCACGGCATCCAATACAAAGGATACCCTACGATCGGGGGCAGACGTTACCTTGATCCCTGGGACGGCGGCTTTCTCCACCAGGAAAGTGACCAGGATGAACCCTCTGGTGCTGGATCCCCCAGGAAGGCAGACAATGGGTTCCAGATTCCTGGGAAGACATTCACAGCCAACTGTTGGTGTGTCATTGCCTCGCACCACATCACGGACTGACGCAGATCCTATTTTTAATCTCAATTAGAAAGGAACCCTCTGGACAGATTCAAAACCATTTAAAAAATAAAGTATACACAATGGAAAACAGCCAAGAAGTGCACAATGACCAAGAGGAAAAGCCATCACATTTTAGAAGAGCACCTCCAAAATGCCTGGGAGACAAGAGCTGTCTTTGCACTGGACAGAGGTGCCAGGCGAACTCCCTGGGGAGGAGACACGCTGAAGAAGGCCCCGCAGCCGACAAGGGCTCTGTTCTTTTTGCCCCCTGCCTGGATTTCCACACCAGGGGCACCTGAAGACCCCGTGGCCTGAGCAGGGACGTGCAGGAGGAGGTCCTTCAGTTAGATATTCTGCTCTTTAGGGATTTCGGAACCCTTTCACTCTGGTGACATTTTGGTTTCAGAGCTGGGGAGGGAGAGACCCCCTTGCGGTATTGTGCCAAACATGCTTGGCTAGACCAGGAGAGACCTGCCTTGAAAAGACGGCACAGGTACCCAAGGACTGGCTTTTGCCACCTCCCAGGCTCTCTTAATTTACAAGATACAGGCAGAGAGGCGGGAGAGAATCTTCTCGTTAGTTTTTCTATGTTGCTTTTCTGACGCCCACTGAAACAGAATCCAAACATTTCAGGAAATGAAAACCACCATCAAGGAGTCCCAACAAGACACTCAAAGAGCTTGGTTAAAGAGAGAAGCTTTGACCCGCTTCCTGAACACCGGGAGAAAGCGGAGTGACACAACTTCTTGGGGAGGCTGCCCCAGAGTTTGGGGCCAACAGGAGAAAACCCATCCCCATATTCTGGACAAGCAGCTCCCCACAATGGGAGCACCTTCAAAAGACGCCTGATCTCATGAACAGAGCAGGTTCGTTCGGAGCGACTTTGTCTGGCAGGTAGCGCAGCCTGAAACCTTGAAATTGCTTCAGCCGAGCCCAGAAAAGACCTGGTGTCCAGTGTAGAGTTTGCCATTTGGGGTCGACATGATCACAGCCATGCATGAAGGCCGGTGGCCAAGCCGCTACATCTGGTACTAGCAGAGAGAACTGTGCGGGGTCCCCTGATCTTGGTAGGAAAAGGATGGGATTAAAATATATATTTTTAAAAGGACCCATCAAACGGGGGTCCTGCTGACATCAGAGACAAGCATGAATCCCGGCTGAGCACAAAGAAGCCGTTTCTCTTGCTAGCTTGAGTAACCGAACAGCAAACCCAAGATAGCTGCCTTGCTGATGAGAACCTCACGTGAACCCAGGATGTTGGCATCTTGCTCGCAGACAAGCCAGGGTTCATAAACTATATTCCTCTGGCTTTTGCCATCTGTCCAAAGAGCATTTGTTATTGGGAAGAATGAAAGTAGAACAAACCCAGAACAAAGCATGCATCCTGGTTCTCACTTGTGAGAGCAACCCCAGACCAGGATCCGGCATTTGGACAACACGCTACAGATGCCATCGCTCATTAGCCTCACCATGTTTGCTCCCAAGAGGAACCAAGTAGAAGCAAATGGACAGCCCCGTTGACAGAATCCTCGATTACCATCCCAGGAGAGCATAATCAAAAAGGAAAGCCACAGAAAACCACCTTTAAAAAGCACCATCATAAAAACTGAAACTGCTTGACTCAAGCAACTTAAAAGGTGACCTCAGCTATCCAGGTAAACTTTGAACTGCGAAGACAAACAGGGCTTCTCAGATACTTACTCAATTTCCAGAGCTCTTTGTGAAATCGGTGCATGAGCAGCAAACAGGAGCAGAAACAAAACAAGGAGAGCAAGTCAGTTGAAGGGCAAAGTCTACTCCGCAAGCTGCTGCGGTAATTTTCCTTTAACGCCAGGATCTCCCCAGGTGCCTCGTCTTTCTTGCAGTGGCTGCTGAAAGTCCCTTCCCATCTTTCCTTCCTCCCCAAGAAGAGACTTCTTATTTTGCTGTCACATCTACACTACAAGCCTGAATTGGTTTGACTCCCGAATGGCAAGAGAGTACAAAGTTTATCTTCTTCATCTGGCCAAAGATGAGGAAGAAGGGATGTGTTGGAGGGTCATAAGATCCTGCACTGGGAGAGAAAGTGGACAGAGGTTTGTTTTCCGCCCCTTAGATTATCAGGACCTGGGGTGATGCAGTGGGCCTGAATGGGCCAGGTTCGACACACACACAAGAGGAACCAGAAGCACGTAGTTACCCTGTGGAACGTGCAGCCATAAGGTGTGGGGACCACCACAAAATCAGTTGGCTTTAAAGGCGACTCGAGAGATCCAGCTTATAGTCCCTGCGGGGCCATAGAAGATCCTCGTTTAGACAGGCTAATGTTGTAAGGGCCCACCCCCACGGCCTCCCAGCATTGTCCGAGGGCCATAGGATTTTTGGGGGTCCCAGCTCCAAGACCCTGTGACCTTGGTCCTGGGACACAGGCGGTCAAGCCCTCACCTGCACCCAACTGCACCCAAGTCGCAGCTGGGCCTCTGAAACGGTGACAAGGGGGTGTCAGGATGGGGAGAAGGAGATGCTGGAACCGAGGCCTTTGGCCTGCTCCCACCAGTGCCCCATCCTGCCCCCCGCCTCTTCCCCAGCACTTGATCTAAACAGCTGAAAAGAGCCATCCAGAGAAAACACACCGTGCAGTAAAGATAAGTGCATTCAGAAGCTCACACTCAGCAAATTTAGGAGGCCTAAACGGTGTCCCGAGCACGAGACAGCTCAGCTTCGCTCTGATTTCCGTGCGCTGAGCACAAACCTCGTTCTGCTTGTATTTACCCACAAGGATTCCTTTTCTTCCAGTTGACTAAAATCAAATCCGCATGAACCAGGATCGGGGGCAGCCCGAGCACCCGGGAGATCTCTCCGTATGGGATGGCGAGGTTCCGCGGCAAGACCTGAAAGACACGAGGCCCGCAGCTGGGTCAAGTTCTCCGAGCAGGCAGTCCTTCATTCGCTGTCATGGGGATGCCGCCGGGTTGCGTCGAGTGGGGAGAGGAACGGCTGCGTTTCAAGGTTCGTACCGTGTCTTTCTCTTAGAGCTGCCCTCCGGCGCATGTGGCCACATGTGTGGAATTCACACAGGGACCCTGGCACTCCGTATACCATGGCAAAGGGCCTTGAGGCACACTCTTTATAAAACAAGCTACATGGTTACCTCCATTTTGCCGCTGAAAATGGTGGCTTGAATGGGGCAGTCCATTAGGGTCCACCAAGGCCTTGATCCCTCAGGATAAGGCTTCACTTTATTTATTTATTTATTTAAAACTTTTTTTAGACTGCCCCTTACTGTAATCTCAGGATGGTTGAACAGTAAGACAAATATAAAATAAAACACAGCATCCTAATCAAATTCTTAACCAATCAACAATAAAACCCATATTAAAATAACAGTCAGACCTTAAAATATTGGGAAAATTAAAAAGGCTTAACCTGGCACCGAAAAGAATAAAGTGACGGTGCCAGGTGGACCTCTCTGGGGAGCGTGTTGCATTATCGGGGTGCCACCGCAGAGAAGGCCGTTCTCCGGGCAGCCACCCTCCTGCTCTCCTTCAGGGAGGGCTCCTGGAGAAGGGCATCTGCCCAGACCTGAAGGGGCAGGCGGGCACAGGGGCAGACATTGCCCCCTCCGGAGTGACTGCGCCCCGTGGCAACCCACTGGTTCCAGCTGGACCAGCCTGAGTGCCCTGGCCACGTTCAGGGCAGGCTGCAGGCCGAGATCGCGGCCTTGCCTGATGCGCTTCCGGCACCGCCCTGCCTGTGCCACCGCCCTGCCTCTGCCTCCCAACCCGGCCCCCCAAGGAAGGCATCCCAGGCGTTATTCTGGCCATGGATCCCTCCCACCCAGTTGTGTGGACATTCCAGACCCCCAGATCTGCATCCAGTGAGGAACCCATGCAAACCCAACCTGGACATAATCAGCGCCCATACAGATGACCTGGATCGATGTATCCAGAATCTGTGGGCTGGGTGCATGGCCCTTGCCATGGCCATAAACTCAGGGCCAGAGGACGCTCACCACCTGCAGGACTGGGGCCTGTGCCCACACCGCGCAGGACCTGGGGTCCTTTGCTCTCGTGGGCACCCTGGGCAGTCGCTCACCCTCCCGGATGGTTGCTGGGGAGCTTGGCTGGCAGGCGCTTTCCCATCACTTCCTCCCTAACGAGAAGATGTACAGTGCCCTCCAGGAATAACTTGGTCACCAAGGCTGGATATGAATGTTGAAGAGGGGACACTTCCATCAATTTCCATGTGTTTACCGCTAAGTCCACCTCATTTCCTCATTCATCTTCTTAAAAGAGGGGGGAGGGGAAAGATCTGCACAGAAATTGGCACGGATGCACCTATTTGTCAGAAGGCTTTTCCTCACAAAATGCACGGATGACTGCGTGTTGATGTTTTCTGAGTTCCTTTGACCAGCCCAGAACTGCAGAAGCCACGAGAGAGCTAAGCACCAATCTGCGACAGGTACATTGGTCATTATCAGGCCCCAAAGACCAAACTCCTGAGTCCGCCCAGGCCAGGTGTGGGTTGTACCTTGGCGATGCCTGTCTCTCCTTCTTGCCAGACGTAGCCCATCGTGATGAAGCTGAGAATCAAGCGAGCCAAAGAGACCTCCCGGTGGCCCTTGAGGTACCGGCTGCTCAGCAGAGGCATCTGTTCAGCCAGGAAGGCATTAGACAGAGACAACAATGTCGTTACGACTGTTTCTTCCAGCCCTTCTCCCATGGAGTGCCTTCCTTGTTGTGAAGGCTCAGCCAAAGAACTTCGCTTTGATGCCATCCTCCTGCTTAGCATCCCCTTGTGATGAAGCCGTCCCATAGATCCTGGCAGAGCATCTCAGGGAGAGCATCGGGGTGGAGGACTGCCTCTCCCAGGGCTTGTAGGCACAACCAGGAGCTTGGAGGAGACATCCAGCTAGAGGCCCTCCCTCCCTCCCTCCCTCCCTCCATCCATCCATCCATCCACCCATCTCTCCCAGCCTTCCTGGAAAACCCCAGGGTGGCTGACCTCCTCCCCAGGTTCCAACAGCATCCCTGGCTAAGGCTGGAGAGGGCAAACAAGGTGAGGCTTCTACTGGCCAGGGAGAGGGAGGAAGCGGCACCGATCGGCGAGGTCCCAGCCCCGGCTTCTCCTGCCCTTGTTCCCAGGCAATGGAGTGAGTGGGACGGGTTCGCTCGCTCTGTGCTGCCACCTGGCTCTACATAGCAAAACTGAGAAGTGCAGGGCTGCAAGTGCCCCATTGCCCTTTCCACTCGGCTTGGCAGGCCGCAGAACAGGCAAGATCACTGTCTGTGGAGCTCTACCTATTAGACTTGCACTGGGAAAAGCCTCCGATTGGAACCCGCTGGTCGTCGGGGTTCCTCTCCAAGGCTGGGGGCACTGTTAGGGCCTCTTCCAGTCGGATCCCCCCACTCCCCTGCCCCCGCCCGCCCCCAGCACCACGCAGGCTGCGCTGCGAGGTCACACAGGCGGCCTTGGAGGGTCTCGGAGAGCTGCTCAATGCCGCCTTCTAGTCCCGGAACCCCTCTGGAAAAGTCTTTCTTTGGATGTTAATAAGGTGTATTTTACATGTGCCTCCTTGAGAACCCCTTGAGATGAAGCAAACACGGAGGGAGGGGGAGTTAATTCATAGATTTGTCCAAGGCCCTTGATCTTACAGAGCCTGATGCAGCAGTTTTAAATAGCGACACGCCGGAATTTAAATAAAGCAGACCAGGCACACACAGGAATGGGACCTGCAGGTGGCTTCTCTGCTGTGGCGCTGGTGACCTCTAGTGGAGCCCGCGTGGCACTGCAGGGGACGCAGCAGGAATTGGCAAGGGTCTGTGTCCCTGATGGATAATGTAAGAAGCCCCAAGCATGCTTCCAAAGGCAGTCCGCGACCGCGGCAGATTACAACGGTTGCTTCCTTTCCGGCTCGCAAATAAGTGCTCAGGCTGCCTAGGATACAGCACGCTGTTCCACCCAACCGATCCCGTTTCATAGACTGGCACAGGGTGCAAGAGGGCCGCTCTTCCATGCTGCTTTTCCATCCACAGGATAAAGATAAGGACTAAATTTATATAGTTCATAAAATCTAGCATATTTTAGATTATGGTTTGTACTTGCCGGGACTGAAACCTTGGGAGTGGCATCTTGAGACCCCAGAGTCACAAGTGCCAGGCAACTGCCCAATTAGCAGTGGTTGGAGGAAAGGTGTTTGAGCAGAGAGGGAGCACGACCAACTGGGGAACCCGGAAGGCCGGGGTGGCACCCAAGAGGGCCAGATTCGGTGCCCAGACCGGAGGATCCTCCCCATAATTAACCCAAGGCACACACAGAGGTTCATTCTGTGATCTAAAAGCAAGCACTGGAGATGCCACCAAAAGCATGGGAGAAAGGGCAACACGAAGGCCTGAGTCGAGAGACACACCCCGGCTGCTTCCTTTGCAAAGGCGGCATCGCTCCCCCCGCTTCGCCTGGCGGAGGGGCACAAGGGGTGTGGATCGTTTCTGCTATCACCTCTGCCTTTCCCCCATCGCCTTCCTAAAATCAGACATGGTGAGAATTTGGTACCTTGTCCACCTGTGCACGAAGCTGATGGCTCTCGATCAGGGAAGGCAGGTTGTTGGCAATCTCCATCCATGGTCTATAGAAAGGAGGGAGCTCCTGCTGTGGAGAAGAAGCAGCAGCAGAGAAGAAGCAATTCTCACTGAGCAAGGTCCCTATAGATCAGGATGTAGGCAAAGAGGTCCAAAAGAAGCCTGCACACCTTAGGATCTTCCATGCCAAAGACACCCCCGCACACACACCCAGCTTTTGCCACGAACAGAGCGGAGGGGGGTGTTCTCGAACAGCCGGCAGGGCACAGTCCAGGGCTGGCGGGCTGCCGAAGGTCCAGGTGCGGTTCACGCGTCCCTTCAGCACATTTGGCGCATGCCTTCCTGCCCCCCTGAATTAAAATGCTTTGGACCTTTGAGCTCCACAGTGATCCAGGGAGGTGGGCTATGCTGTGGGGAAGCCCTCATTATGGCCTATGCAGCCGGTGGCGAGGCTTGGGCCGAGGTCCAATATCACATCCGATATAACATGCAGCCTCGAGGCATGAAGGCAGAAAACATGAGCAAGGGCCGTGACCACACACCTGCCCCATTTATATGCAAAGTGTGTGGGGGGGGGTGGACTGTCCATGCAAATGTGTGCAGCAATGGGGAGCGAAATGCCGCCCCCTCTCCCTGCTATTTTCCCCACGTTCATCCAGCACCACAGCTGTGCGGGAAACCTAGGGCTACATGCGGCCCTCGGAGCCATTCCGAAGTGCCCTGCATGTGGCTAGTCCAGACCTTGGTGAAGAAGGATCTGTTAAAGCGCTGCCCTGTCAAGCCCGTGGTCGATTAAACCAGTAGAGGAAATGGAGCGGCTTTCACCCGCCCACCTGACAAACGCCCATGTTTAGTGCCAAGAACAGCTCTGCCTCTGCGGCCATCTCTCCAGGGTGCCAGGTGCCCATGGAGAGCCTATGTGGGCTTGTGGTTCAGAAAGCTGGACTGCGACCCAGGCAGTCGGGTTCTAGTCCCCGCTCAGCCATGGAGCCAACTGGGTGGCTCTGGGACCGTCCCCGACTTTCAGTGCGACCACACGGGGTTGTTGTTGTGAGGATAAGATGAAAAGGAGAATTCTGTGAGCTGCCTGAGAAGGAAAAAAGGTGGGATATAAAGGCAATAAATAGGCAATAAATATGAAAATCCACACCGTGTGGCCTTCACAAGGTGACATATTTTCATGCTTCTTTATGGTTGCTGATCTTTTCACTGTTGGGCAGATCAGTCATTCAAATACTCCTCTTCCTTCTCTTCCATCCCTACAGTTCCAAAGGTGACTTGCTTTGTCAGACTGTGGATCAGTCTCAAGAGTCAGGGTGAGGCCTTGGGCCTGTGGGGAAGGCTGAGAACTCCTTCACAAGGACAACGGGGCGCCTGAGCTTCGTGGGACCTGTCCGTGGTGCTGAACTCGTCCCCTGGAGCACCGTGGATCAACCCCACAGAGGGGACCCACTGACTCAGCCCTGTTAGCTTCTCTGGGCTGCGAAATAAATATGGCGGCTCCTCCCACTGCCAAACTTCTGCACACGCCTTATTTTCAGCAGAACATCCCAACGGATTGTGCCTTGCATTAATCAGCAAGACCCGTGGGTGCCGTTTTTATTTCCCACCCGAGGCTCAGAAAGTCTGAAAACAGGAAGAACATGTTTCTCTTTCATTTCTACCTTTTTTTTTTTTTCTTTTAGGGTTCTTTTAAAAAATCTGACAGAAATAGGAGCAATTTTTCAATCATGTAACAGTTTCTCAGCTGTTTTAGGGCTTAATGAAGTTTGATCCACCGAGGGCCTTTGGGGAAAGAGAGCTGTGCCATTTTAATTATCTACTGACAACTGATGTGAATCAAATCACTTATTATATAACCTCTTTGCCCGAGACAATCCCAAAGCTGCAAAGATGTTTCTGAAGAGGGTTGGCTGTTCCTTTTCCTTCCATTTGCTGGTGGTGTTGCAGGGGAGAGGAGTCTTCGTGTTTCCCCTGGCATGTGGTATTTTCCAGGCAACCTCTCCACTCATCCAGGTTTTAAGAGGTGTTTACCTCTTTGATATCAATAAGAGCCCTCAGTATAATACTCCTAATTGAAAGTAGTCTTTCATTGCAGGGAGGCTAATTTTCCTTCCTTCTAAATCAGCCTGAATTGCATTTCAGGCCTGTTTTCTCTCTTCCTAAACATTTATACTGGGAATTGCCTTACTTCCTGTGCCATTATTTTCCCATATAATTGATTGTGCACTGCACAGAAATCCTGATAGAATAAATATTAACAAGCAAATGTGTGCATAAATGCAGAAGACATGTGCCAGCTGTAACCATATGCGTACAGTCCCCAATTTTATCCCTGCCACCTCCGATTTAAAAGGAGCTGATTTGGTGGAATGCTGCTTCCTTAGCCCTTCAAGACCACTGCCAAATAGTGAGCCGGGTGGAAAGGTGCTTCGCCTCAGGCCGCTGTTCAAGAGCTCCCTCTCAATAGATCACAGCCCAGATTAAATTAATCAGTTTATAGGAGAGCACTTGGGAGGTGAGACTTATGATTTGATTACAGAACTCCCAGACCAGGAAAGTGGATCTTAATCTGATTGGACTATCTATAATGCAGTCCCAAATACGATCTCACAGACTCTCAGCCCAACCAACCTCACCGGGTGGTCGTTGTGAGGATAAATGGAGCTCTGTCCGCCACTTTGGATGCCTCACAGCAGGAAAAGAGCAGATGGACACAGTGCAGTAAGAGTAAGACAGGCTGTTCATCTGGAAAGTCCAGAAGGCTGGGCGGGGATGCAGGTGGGCTTCGGCCCCTGCACCTGCTGGAAAGAGGATGGCACGCTCCTGGACTGCAGCTCTTCTTCTTCCACGCTGAGGCTCAAGAGCCTTACCTTCAAGATCCTGTGAGGGTGACTTTCTTAGCTGGATTTGCGACGGGGCGAGACACATCCCTGCAGGTCTAATCCGTGACTAATAGCCCTGAGAGCCACAGAACCTCCAGCTTTCAGGAGAAGCACATCTCTGAGTCCCAGTCGTGAGGAAGCAATGAGAGGAGAGGACCGTCCTCTCCAGGTCCTGCTTCAAGCTTTCCTGGGGGCAGCCAGACCAAACTGCTCTGTTCCCACGACCACAGCAACCTTCCCCCACCGTGTGCTGTCTGCATGAGTTTGATTACAACTCCATCATCCCCCAGCCAGCATGGGGTTGCTGGGAGCTGTAGTCCAACCAAGTTGCAAGGGACTAGGCTGGGGAAGATGGCCTAGACAATACCCATAGGAGGTCCTCACACCTCCATGTACTGCAGCCCGTGCCTGAACACCTGGAGCCACACAGAAACCGTGTCCACAGACCTGAATTCCTCTTCTACCATTTCCCCATAAGATGCCAGATTCCCTCCTCTTTTTTGCTCTCTTTCCCAGCCCCTCGTGAACGTTCACGCCAAAGGACCAACCTGGTCTCCTCCCCACCACCCCAGCAAGCCGCAACCGGCTGGAATGGCCATTCCTACCAGTGGATTCGGAAGAAGGAAGCCGTAATCTTCAGAAATATGAAATCGGCGCAGGGTGAGCAGTAGCCCCTCTTTGGCGCGCTCATTCGTTTCCATCTTTGTCCAAACGTGGCCAGCCACGGGGCCCGCTGTAGAACCACGGGACCTGCTGCTTGCGGGTGGCTCAGCCCCTCATCCTGGCCCGGCCTGACCACAGGGACAGCCTGTGCATCGCAGCTGGTATGTGCTGACGCTGCAGGTTTGATACCTACGGGATCGAACCTTTGGCCTGGGTGTAGGATCCCCGCTGACCAATGGCCACTGCAGCCGAGTAAACATGAGTGAAGGTTGCTGATAAGCCTGTCAGCAGGTCACACGCAGAAGGGGAAAACAGTTCAGGAGGGATGGGGGTCCGGAAAAGTGAAATACCAACGGCAAAACGGAAAACGGAGACGGGGGGATGGAGAAACCAACCCGGGAGGCTCTCCGATGATAGACTTGTTAAAAAGACATGTGCAGAAGAGGGGAGGAGGTCACATGACTGGGGAAGCCTGCCAGGGTCCTCATCCATTGCAGCTTTTATTTTGAGCTTCGGAGCAGTGGTCCATGACGCTGGCCTCCATCTCTTCCACCCACCCACCCCCATGGATGGCTCCTATAAAGCCAGAAAGATGAGCTCAGCTGGGCAGCCCAAATCTACACAGAGAGTTCAAGGAGGGCTTGATGGGGCTGAAACGCACGAGTTGCAATTCAACAGGAAGTGCCGCATCCGGACGCAAAGCACGCTCAGAACAGCAGAAGACGAGAAAAGGAGCCTTGGCACCTCCCTGGATCACAAACAGAGCAGGGGCACCCTTGGCATAGTCTGAGCCTCTTTCCTAATGGTGAGAATGGATTGCCAGGACCCGCACGGAAGGCTGAATCGCCTTGAACCCCGGCGTTTTTACTGGTGAGCTCACCCAGGGCCCCTGAGGTTGCTTACAACAGCATGCTACCGGGTAGCGGTCTTCACCGCCCACTGCAAGCTTTTAGAACACACGCAGAGTGCTTATAGATTCTGAGTCGCACGGGCCCAGCAGCTGGCCGTTGATGACGAAATAAGGTGCTCAGTCAGAAGAAGGCGAGGGGTCCACAGAGGGGGCTCAGTGCAACGGCAGCTGATTGCAGGAGATCAACGCAACGAGCACCGAGGCACAGGGATTATGGTGGCCTTGGCACGCAAACGAGGGCGATTGCAATGCTGCCAACCTGGCGGCCTGACCAGCTCTCGCTCATCGGCAAAACAAGAGCCCTGGCAGCTTCTGGGGGAAGCCATCAGGTCCCACTTCTTAAACCAGCAGCAAATGCCAAACCGTCACCCGGCTTGGAATTGGGGTGCTTTCTGAGAGAGGGGTGCAGGCATTTTATAGCACAAGGGCACATATAAGCAACCCTTTTCTGCCAGGATTTATCTGAATTTCCCCGACAATCCCGCCTTTGTCACCAGTGCAGGTATGTGGCAGCCTCGCTCAACATTATGGTGCACAAAAGCCACAAAAGCCACCTTCAGGTGACCCTCAGTGGCAGCCCCGAGGGGCGCATTTTAAGAAAAGAAACGAAGGCCTGAGCAGGTCAGTCAGGACACGGAGCAGCATCCAAGTCTTCTGAGGATCTGGCGTATACCTCACCCCAGAGCGGCTTCAGGAAGGGATGGCAGCTCCGGAGGGGCTGTCAGGCAAGATGGGGTCGGTGTGCTCTCTCTGGCTCCAGGCAGCAAGAGGAGGACTGCCAAGCGGCGATCTCCGATGCCGGCTGTTCAAGCAGAGGCCCGGCCGCAACTCACCAGGGCTGCTGCAGCTGCATCCAGCCTTCCCAGGTTTCCTCCATCCCCAAGATGCTCAAAGCAGTGGCCTGTTATGGAACACAAAAACCCATGAACTCCACCTGTCTTTAAGGATAAGCAACATGGAGTAGAAGCATCGCATACATTTGCCACAGGACTGACACCCAGGAGGAACGATCCATCTGACCCATACGGGACAGCCCCAAATCTGGAGAGCACCAGCGCCGAACTGAACGACGGCAGGATGTTACTGCCGTTTGCCATGACCGGCGTTGCCCTCTTGCGGCGCCCCTCGGCTTGCTCCTCTGCTTTGGCCTTCCTGTCCACTGCTCCTCCACAGGCCAGCCAGGACCCCCTCCCGAGAGACCTCCACACATGCACACCCCCTCACCCCCTCCACAGAAGCACTGGCCCCCCCAGACAGCTTCAGGCCAGTGGTCCAGCCACCGCCAGCCTCCTTTTCCCGGTAAGCCGAGAAAACACGCCGCACGCCGTAGGATTTTTTAGAACATACGCTCTTTATTATAGAAACTGAAGCAGTGGCAAACAGCCTTTGCTTCAATAATCACACAACACAGAGGGATGCAAATTGTTTTTCTTGTTGCTTTGCACTTCTTGGAGAGAAGAAAAGGCGTGTGCACCCCTTCGGCAATCCATCACCACATCTACGGCTCCTGCCGCCGTTATACGCTGCATAAAACAGAGCACAGAATCAGGAAGAATACACATCAAACAGGAGATTGTGCCAAAGAATTAGCTGCTGTGCACCTCTTAGTTCCTTCCAGGCCTCACGGAGACGTTCCCAGTGCTGCCGACCGTGGGGGGCACACGACCACAGGGAACAGCAAGAATAATGTCCAGGCAAGAGGGAGCTGGCTGGAGTCCAGGCTCTGGACTGGGGCTGCACTGGAGAAGATGAAATAGTGGGCAGGAGGTTTCTCTGCCCTGTTGAGCAGGCTGGGGGAAAGGCCAGGGGGGCTGTTCTGGCCTGCCTGACCTGGAATTGTCGGTGCCCCCCCCCCCCCCCCCGGCAGTAGGACGGCCCTGTACTCTCCTGCTTCTGAGCCCTGCCCCCAGGCAGCCTCAGGCCACGAGACGGGGCACAGAAGCTCTTTCCGCCCCAGTCCCATTCCAAAGAAGGCAGCTGCACCAAAGGTGCTTGAGGGAGGCATTTCTGGCTTTTGGGGGGGGGAGATCTGTCCCAAAGCCAGGAAGCTACTTGGCTGGCGGACAGACATGGGGAAGGGTCCGTGAGTGCCTGGGCCCGCCCAGAGGGCTGCGTTGAGACCCCAGCTGAAACAGACGGGGCTCTGCGGCCGTCACATCCTGGCTGGCCTCCTGCCAGTGAGGACCCCTTCGCCTTCGCCTTCGGAGGGGTCAGCTTTTCAGACCTCCTCCTCACTCCAGCGCCTCCGTCTGAAGAGTGCGTAGAGCGGCAGTGTCGAGAGACGCCTTTCCAATATTCCCCAGCAGGGCATGCGTGGCAAGCAGGGGTTTTTAAAGAGGGCGCGTCCGGGGCCTGGGCCTGGGCCTGGGCCTTCCCCTGCCCCGTTCCTGGACTGTGAAGACGGGGCGCAGACAGAGGCCCCCTTCCCCATTTGCAACATGTGCTTTGGCTGCTGTTGCAGAGGCACGGATGCCGGCACCAGCGACCCATTTGTCCTCCTGCAAAGAAGCCAGGGCTGCTTACACTTTATCCTCGCAACGACCCTGCGAGGTAGGCTGGGCTGGGAGTGAGTGGCTGGCCCAGAGGCGCCCAGTGAGCCTCATGGCTGAGCAGGGACTAGAACCCGGCTCTCCCGGATGCCCAGTCCAACACTCCAACCACTGCACCAGATGGCCCTCGGGGTATACGCTCAGTGGCAGCCCACGTGCACTCAGGTCCCAGGACCAGCCCCACTGAAGGGGAGGGGCAGGACAAGCCTCCGGCTTGAGGCCCGGAGGGATACGGCTGAGGCCCGCGGCGTCCGTGGGTGCTTCTCAGCACAAAGGCGGCTGTGTGTGCACGCAGACGTCCAGCCTCAAGCAGCAGCAGCAGCGAAGATCGGGCTCAGGCTGGCCTGACAAAAGCACAACTGGAGCCCCGAAATGGTCGCCTGGTTGTCAGGCCTGGAACAGGGACGGCAGAGGGGCGCGCCAAAAGCCCCTCTGGTTCGCCCACCCGACTGGCGGGGGCTCCCCAAAGCCTCGGACCACGTTTTTCGTCCGCTCTGCCTGGAGTGGCCCGGGATGGCCCCCGAGACCGCTCCGGCAGGGCAGGCGCTCGGCCCTTTCCTCCCCACCCAAGAGGAGCAACGAGAGGTCGGCCACGCAGAGCTCACCTGGCAATGTCTGGCTGGGCCGCTCCCTGAGATTTAGATCTAAAGAGAAGGGGGACGCACATGATCGCACACTAGTTCAGGACGTGCGTTGCAAGAAGACGACAAAAGAAAAACATCAAGTCCCCCTCACCAGCCCGATCGTAGCAAATCACCTTCCGAAAGTTGTTGCCGTTGCTTGTGTTTAGCTGAGCGGCCTTTTCTGAGCCGGATCAGGCCAAATTCTAAGCCATGATGGGTTTGCAGGTTTGGTCCTCCATGGGGAATATACCCCTTGTGCTTAGTAAAAAGGGGATGTGCAGATATCCTGCATGTACAGACTAAGGCAGGAAATTCCAAAACCATGTGCCACCACTGACCAAACCGCTTTAAAGGCAGGTGGAGCTCATCCAGCCCTGGCCAAGCCAAGAGGCCTTTAAAGCACTGGATAAAAATGTGGGAATTAGAACTGCTTTTCTTGATGTTTATGCAGAATTATTTTCAGTAAAGGCAAGACTGACTGGAGCAGACTATCATGCTAGGGAAAGTCAAAGGCAGAAGAGGAGGGAGACCAAATAGGGGCTGGTGGAATTCCATAAAGGAAGCTGCAGCTGTGAGTCGACAAGAGCTGAGCAGGGATGTCCAGGGACCAGAAATTTTGGAGGGCACAATTTACAGGGTCCCATAAATCAGTGACGACTTGGCAGCATGTCACAAGAAAAGCACATGTTTAACAAACTCATGCTAGGGATATATAATAAATACGCACCAGGATTGTGGACCTTCCTAAATCTTATCCAAAAAGTTTTGGTGTATGTCATCCTTTTCCCCTTTTGGTGTTTGTGGAGCACAACTGAAGTGTGGTATTTTGGACAATGCTGGTGCCCTCTCGCCAAATGGACCGCCAGTAACTTCAGCCTGGAGGTTATAACCCTGGTGCGAAGCCTGTTCCATCTGGCAGCCCAGAGCAACCCCAGGATAGGTCTGTGGTCTAAAGGGCGCCACTCAGCCCCCGAGCCAAGCACCCGCAGCCCGAACCCGGTGAAGGTCACCGTTGCAAGAAGGGCGCTGTCCCAGCAGCGGCTGGGGCAGCACAAGCGTGAGAGGGCGAGGGGCTTCCCTTTCCTCCAGAGAAGGCAAGGCCGAGGAAATAAGGGAGGAAGAACCTCACCCCAAAGGCCCTCGAGCCATTTACGCTCAGTCCTCGCCCTGGGCTGCAGCCAGCGGAGACGAAGCCCAGCGCCTCCGTGGGCAGCCCGTTGCTCCCTGCACCACAACAAAAGCAAGTTACCCTTCCGTGTCATAGTCCTCCTCATCCTCCTCTTGCACCTTGACATGCGAAACGACGTCTTTTAGTTTTATGATCAAGATGACAGAGCCAACGATCACTGGCAGGAAGAGGAAGAATCCAATCAGAAGCCAGTTCCTCACCGTGGGACTCAGCCCGTGAGGTTCGCTCGAATCCGGACCTAGCAAAGAGACATCGCAACAGCAGCGCGTTACACCCTGCGCAGTGGACAGGCGGGCCGGGGAGCTGCAAAGACGCCCGGCTGAATCTGCACGGCTAAATGATGGAACTTGTTGCCAAACTGTACGGTGATGGCCACCAGTTTGAAAGTTGATCAGAAGAATTCCTGGAAGAGGCAGTCAGAGGCTTCACACTTTCCCAATCCCTCTGAACAGCCCATACTGTGAATGTGAGCAGGGGGTTGTCACTGCCCTCGTGTGCAGAGCATCGGGTTGGCCATGGTGCGAACCAGGACACATGGCCAAATCCAGCAGGACCTTTCTGAGGTTCTAGATTCTTGCCTCTCCTCACTGAGGAAGATGAAGGATGGATACCTGTGCCTGAATAAGTCAGTATGGAGAAAGGACCTGAAGAACTGACCAGATAGTCAATTTGGGGCCTGAAGCTGGCCCATAGAAGATGGCACAAACCCCTTGTCCCTCTTGCAAAGCTCACCCAGGCCACTGCCAGCTGCCACACCGGCGCCCGCACAGCAAGAGCCACTCGAGCCCTTTGGCATTTGTGGCAGATTGGCGACTTTTCTTTTCTCACGGGCTGCAAAACGCAATCCCCAATTTGACGGACAGCAACAGCCTCTTCATATTGCCCAAGAGGCGCAAAGCAGGGGCTCGTCAAGGTGCATCACCCCTTTCTTTCCTTTTTTGCACCTGAAATATGCACATTTATCTGTGCCTTTTGAAATTATTAGTCACCTTTGCAGGTCCAAAATAGTATGCTTCGCCTGGCCAATACCCCAGGGGGCAGGGGGTGCTCTTGGGGGGTACCAAGAGGTTTATTTTTCATGTTGGTTTGTCCTGACAGCAGTCAAAAACCAAGCTGTCAAAAGAAAGCAAAAGAAAGAGATTTTTGCTTGCACAAAAGGGTTGCCACTAGATTATTTACTTTCCAGCAAACCTCAAAGCTGTTTGTTTTGGAAAAGCCCATCTGGGAATCTTCACAGTTTTCTAGGGGCTCAGGAAGATGGAAAAGTGTACATCACCCCCTTTTTACAGGAGTTGTCAGTTTTGACAGCTAGCTGTGGAACTCTGGGTCCTTTTAAAAGGGTTTTCTGGCAGATGCACACGCCAGCATGAATGCGCACGTCCTTGTGGAAAACACACCAAGGTCCTTGTATAAACGACCAAACAAAATGAAACCACAGTTTCGACCGCTGTCAAAACTGACAGCTCCCATAAAGAAGGGATGGCTCACGTGTTTCCACCTTCTTGAGCATCTGAAGAAGCATCAGCACTGCTTCCGCAAAGATAAGTCATCTTTTACTCTCTTTTTTGAGTTATTTCAGGTACGTGGCTTAAAATTGTCCTGACAATCACTCATAGAAAGGAATTAAAGAATCATTAAGGCGACAACTAACCACTTCGGTATGTGCTGTCGACGCTGCCTCCCAAGCCTCCCTTTTCTTCTTTTGTGCAGTCAGGTGGGGCCCATCCCCTATTGCAATGGCAGTTCCCTCTGTTGTTGCAAAGCTGGATCGTACAGGGAGCGGAAGGAAAGAAGCCACGGTTACGCTTTCTGTTGCACTCAGTCCTCCCCCCACCCAGGCCAGCCCACTTTCCTAGCTGCAGCCCCCAAGTCTGGAGAAGGACAAGTAGCTGTCCCAGCTGAATGGTTTTATATTAAGCAGTATATAAGTACTATAAACAGATAAGTGACTCTTTGTAGTCCTTCCTGCCCGAGAGCATCAATTCTTGGGCAGGGTGGAGGCGATCCAGGGCCTAAAAATGCCGAGCTGCTTCGGAGGACTCCACGGCGCGTCATTAAGATGGCAGGGCTCCCCTTCAAGCCCCCAGAGCTCCTGTCACTGTGCAGGGAGCCAGTAACCCCCATGTTTTTGGGGCTCCGGATACAATGCAGATTTTAGTCTGAGGAGCTAAACATAGTGCCCCATGGAGGCGATTTGGGTTTTACAGGGTGGCGTTCAGCACCATGGAGAGCTCCTAGAAGCCTCCGGCTGCCACACTGCCGTGGCCCAGAACCCCAGGTCACCCCGCTAATGCGGACGGCTTGTCCTTGAATGGCCGAGGAGGAACCCAGAGCCTTGGACAAGACCTGCTTCGGAGGAGATGGAAAGCACTGGAGCGGCTCTGCTGGTACTGATCAGCCAGTTGCCACCTTGTTCAGCCTCCGCCTGGCGCAGAAGAGCCCTTGCGTTCCGAAACCTGCTACACGCCGCAGCCTATCAGCCTCCCGTTCCAGCCACAGGGTACAGGAAGCATGTCTGTTCAGCAGTTCCCAGACTCCCGTCTCCTGCTTCCCAGGACACCAAACTCTTCTCTGGAACCTCCTGGGCATTCCTGCCCTTGTCTTTGATAATGATCCTGACAAATCCCTTGGAGTTCTGTCCAGATTTTTAAAATCAGGAGTTGGACGCTCAGATGCGGGGGAGAAGCAGCTCAGCATGTCTCGAGTGCCTCAGGGAGAAAGCGATTTCGAAAAGCTGATCCAGAAAAGTTGCAATCTAAGGAAACGTCCCTTCCAGTGCAGGGGAGACTGGCATCTTTACCTGCACCAGAGACTTGTCCTGGCTGTCTTAGGTGATACTTTAATCGTTGTGGCTTCCCCAAAGAATCTTGGGAATCCTATTTTGGGGAGGTTGTCCCCCTAGCTGCTCCTCAAACTACAGTTCCCAGGATCCCCCAGGCAAAGAAACACCTCATTCAAAATCCATGATACTATTCAGAAAAAAAACTGCTTTTACTCACTCCATTGTTATGGCACATCGTCACTGAATCACAAGTCATTTTTATTATAGCCTTATCCACACACTTCTGGTTCATGCAAATCTAAAAAGCAGCAAAATGAATAGCATCAAAATGGATTATTTCATGCCAAGCTAGCAGGTTTCAAACAGTGGCGCCCAGAAACTGAGGGCTTCGCTATGTGAGTTTAAATCCACCACGTTAGCAAAGCGTCTGCACGCTTTGCAAGGTTTTGGCTGGGTCTTGTGCACGCACTTCCTCTCTTCCTTTTCCCCCTTCCCCTGCCTTCTGTATATTCCACTAAACAACCACAAGCTGTTTGCAGTGTGGCATGAGGCAATTTCAGGAATGCGCCTCTGTTTTGGCACCATTTGGCATTCCATGGAGAAGTGCTTGGAAAGCACAGGACAGGCCCTGGAGAGGGACGCCACAAAAAAGACCCACATCAGCAGTGACGGAGGAATCGCCCGCACACACAAGCAGGCCTCACGCAGAGAAGCCTTGTCTCTGTTGTGCAAGTTACTCAGAATCTGCTGCTGGAAGAAGTGGTAAAATTATGGAACATGCCATTTCCGACTGCCCTATTTAAAAATCCTTTCACTCCAGTAGACACTTGACTGCCTCTCTCTCTCTCTCTCAAACACACACACACACACACGAGAGACAGAGACAAAGAGGATAGAGTAATGGAAACTAAAATGAAAAATATCAGGGTTTAATAGTACCTTATTTTATGAATAAGCCATAAGATGTCGCGAGAAATAGCAGCTTCAAAATGACATCCAAGTCAAGCCAAGCCAAGCCAAGCCTCCTCTGCTGCTGGAGGCGGCAAAGCAGAACCTTGGCCAGCTCCAAGTAAGACCTGATGGTTGATGGACGATCCCAACCCTGGTGGCCTTCAGAGGCATCTGGACAACAACTCCCACAATCCCCATCCAACAGGGCCGTTGACTGGGCATTCTGGGTGCTGCCGTCCGAACGTGTCTGGAAGGCAGGAGGCTGGGAAAGGCTGCTCCTTCCTACCTGCAGCCAGCTGAAGCCTTGGGGGCATGCTTGGCACTGACCCGCCCCCAGAAGAGCGGGCCGGATTCTGAAGGGTGCTTGCCGTCTTGACTTCAGGGAGGCTGGGCAGGAGACGACTCTGCAGGGGACACCTCGCCCCCTCTGAGGCCGGGGCAGGGGCGAGTCCTCCAGCCACAGAGGATGCCAGCACCGCTTCCCACACCCTGACCAGGGTCCTCCATGGCCCCGAGAGCAGCCCTTACCATGCCTTTCCCACAGCCAGTGCCGTCCTGGACCAGGAAGGGATCCTTCACACCCGGCCCTTTCATGTAGTCTAGAGTGACGCACAAGCGATTCTGCACCTTGGCGTAAATGATCGCTGTATTGTCCACAACAAATGGCTTCTTACTTGGATATTCACACACTAGCTTGCCACACTTCAGGTCCCTGCAAATTAATGCAACAAAGGAAGGACGGGCGGGGCGGGAGAGGATCCGCATCTAAGAGCAGAGGTCCTAATTAATGGCGCCGTCATTATATGCTTTTCGGCGCCGGGTCAATACCTTTTTATTTGACCAATATTTTAAAGCTAATTAATTTTAATTGTATATTTATTTATTCATTTAATTTATTTTAACCATGCCATTTTATACTCAGCCGTGGTGTAGCCAATTTATTTTGTTTAGGATTTATAATATATTGTAAGCCGTCCAGAGACAACAGCAATGGACGGCCTATAAATTTCCTAAATAAATAAAGAACAAACTCCTGAAACCCTGCTCCACTGTCGGCCAAGTAGCCAGTTCATCAGCACTACATCCCTGCAAAGAGCCACACGGCCACGAGGTTCCTCGGAAACAGCTTCCTCCACCTGGGGCTCCCCACCTGTGCCGCTCTGCAGCTTCCATTGCTGCAGTGGTGAGTGTCACGGTCCGACACACCTGGGGGGAACCAGAGGTGAAAAACTGGGAGAGGCCAAAGCGGGAAAATCCCCACCTGGGTGATTACGTTTGCTGCGGTTGCTATTCTAATGGCTCTTTTGCAGCTTTTATTCGATTGCTTTTCAACACTGTTTTATTACAAGTTCTACTGAAGTACACATCAAGTTTTCTGTCCTGAAAGGTAGTCAAGAAATTATTTAAATAATTTTAAGCACTGCCGGTGCTAGAGCCAGCAGCATTTTTAACTACTGAGGTTAATACTTCTGTATAGCCCGAAGTGCCTGGTTGTGCCTAGTCTTGGAAGCTAAGCAAGGTCAGGCCTGGTTGAAATCAGGAAGGGAGACTTAAATGTTGTGAACCTCCCAGAGAGCTTTGACTTTGGCCAGTATGGGAATGTAATGTAATGTAACAACTACAACGCACATTCTGTGTCCAAAATTAAGCATGCAGATCTACCCAGGATGTAAAAGCAGCCTTTTTCTTGCAGGACGGGGCTTAAATTTACGATGTTCTGTGCTAAATGGGCATGGTCACCAACTGCCCTTGCAGCCCTTATCCTGACAGACGATGGGGCTCAGACGTGGGCTGGGGGTTTATGAGCCGCACGGTACACGATAGCTAGGCATGCCTCGGGCACTCGTCCAGGCTTTCTCCTGCACGGACAACCTGGCGTGCAACGCGGTATCTCTAGGCACGCGATTGCAGGCGCTTCCGATGTGCTCCATCCACCCCTTTTCCAGTGGGGACAAACTGCAGCAGGTCCTGGCTGGCCTGCTTTAACATAATAAAAGACCATAATTAGAAGCCTTTCCTCTGGAACTTCTGGGGAGGGAAAAGAAGAAAGGTTTGCGGGGAAGTGGCCAGCTCCAGACAATCTGAGACCTTTCTGTCCATGACCTCTCACTAAGCACTCAGAAACACTGGTCCTGTCATCTATGGTTTGTGTAGCCCAAAGCACAAGCCCTATACGAATAAGAACGATACGAAATGTGTGGGTCTCACAGGAGAAGGGGACCGCTGCTTCAACTGTTTTCCCGTGGCATCTGCCCCGAGTATGGACCAAACCTCTTTATTGCCCCGCCAAGCAGCGCTGAGGTCGGCTCCAACGCATCAAAGGTGAAGTTGGGCACCCGGACAAAGCTGCCCCGTGTCTATCGGGGTGCACAGCCTTGCAATCCAGCCAGAGCATCCGTGGGGAGCTGCAGGCTGAACCCCGCTGCATGTCCCCCCAGGCATGTCCTGTGGGGTTGACCCAGCTCCCGGCTGCAGCAAGAAAGCACGTGCGCCAAGCTCTTCCCAAACGTACTGCCACTGGCAGTTCTGGTATCCACGCGCGGTGGAGCCGCAGTGTCCCATCCTGTCGTTCTGGCTGTTGATCTCCTCATAGCACTGCAAGGATCCGCTTCTGGAATCTGCAAACAGAGCACAGGGCTGAGCACGGCAAGGGCCCCTTCCCCGGTCCTCAATCCTGCCCGCCGCCAGGCTGGACAAAAGCGGCGAAAAGGAGCGGATCCGGACGGGCAGGAGATCTACAGAGCTGCATCTTAAGGTCTGGATCCGAGTTCGGCTCTACGTGGACCCTCTGGAGCCAAGGGGCCTGAGCGAGTCACGATGACACTTGCAGGAAGGGCGAAGTATGACCACTCTGGACGGCGCTAATGCTGAGTGAGTGTGAATCCAGGTGCACACATTTAGAAAGCACGGCTATTATTGCAACAGAAACACGGTGCGCGGCTCTGTCGTAGCAAGGCAGCGGCCGGTGAGCCCGCCCTGCCCGCCATCCAGGCACTAGCTGTGGATAGCCATTTTCGGGGTCTCTTCCTGGGGTTCCCGACAAACTTTCAGCAGCAGATGCTTTCAAACCGAGGAGTGTCCTCTGTAACTGAGGACACTTGCCCACCTCCTCCCTTGACTTGGCTGCAGCTGGGGAGGTGCAAAACAAGGACCCACAAGTGACGCACACAGCAGCTGCCCAAACTTCTGGGGGATCCGGCTCGATTCCCAACAGAGACCCTCCCTCTGCCCTGCATCACGGATGGGGCCGCCCCTCGCCATTCCTTCCTGCTTCAGACCTGATGGCAGCCTGGCCAATGTGAACGAGGAGGCATCCCCACCTCCCCTCTGAAGTGATGGGGGTAGGCAGGACGGTGGCCAGGGAAATGCAAGAGCTGACCAAGGGGGCAGGGGAAATAAAGACGGGAGCGCTGAGGTGGCGGGAGCGAGAGCGTACAGGGCAAGGAGGGCCCCCCGTTACCTTTCCCAAATATTTTCCGGCACCACCGATCGGGACTTTGGCATATTCCTTTCATGCAAACCCCGGTGTCAGCCTCGCATGTCTGCCCGTCCTGGACGAAGAAGTCCTCGGTGCACTCGGCGGAGGTGCCGTTGCAGTATTCCTTCAGGTCACAGTCCTCGTCGACGGTGTCTCTGCACAGGGTGCCCTTTGGCCGCAGCTGGCCGGCAGGAGGAGGAGGCAGCCCTGAGTCCCAGCCCGGCCGAGGCGCTGCGCTGGGCCTGCTCACACGCTCGAGCGCCTGCCTGCAGCGCACACCGCGCCGGACCAAGACGGGGGCCACTGGCAAGTGTGAAAACACACCGGGGGAAGGCACATACGTAGAAGAAGAACCCGTGCGGGGGGCGGGGGGAGTAAAAGGGAGCCACTGGTGCCTACGAAGAACCTTTTGTCGTTGCCCAGCATGCACCGGGGCTTCCCCCCTCACTGGGGCCTGCTTCTCTCCTGTTAGACAAGCTGACAAAATCCCCTATTTCCTTTGCACCGGCAGGCCCTCTCTCTTTTCCCCCGGCCAGGTGTAATTGGCTGCCCCGCTACTGCGTCTTTTCTGGCTTGCCTTTCCCCCGCACACTCAATGGCCAAAGCACAAAGCGCAAAAAGCCTTCCCCAGCCCGGTGGCCTTCAGAGGGGTTTGGGGCACGACTCCCAGAATTCCACCAGCAGGGCCACCGGCTGGGAATCCTGGGAGCCGCACAAGGTCGCCCGGAAGCCGCGGGGTCGGGGAAGGCTGCACTGCTGCGGCATCAAGCCCGCCAGGAGGCCCGAAGCACCCCGGACGCCCCACTGCCCGGGGGAGCGCTGGACGCGCCGGCGGCCGGCACCCGCTCACCTTGCACTGCACGCAGCATGGCCCTTGGGCGCACTCCTTCCCGCTCTTCAGGGTGCAGTCGGACTGGCAGCACGGACTGCTTTCACACTGCTGGAAGCAGAGAGGGCGGGCGGAAGGGCGCTTCGTGTGAGCTGGGCGCCCGGCCAGGGGGCAGCAGGAGAGGCCTGCGAGCGGCGGGCCGGCCCGTTTCTCTCCAGCCAGCGCAGGATCACACCCTCCATCAACCAGTGACAAAACCCGTGTGTTTCTGGCTGCACCTGGAGAAGGTGAGGACCACCCCTTCGCAGAGGCTGCCCGATTTAAAAGCGTCGCATGCCGCCCCCCGGTAGCATTTCAGCCGCTAAGAGGGGATTCACGCATTAAGCGTCAATGGAACATTGTTCCAGATATGCTCCTTTCTTTCTTTTTCTTTCTGTTTTGCTGGACTGGCCCTAACAGACCTTTGCCGAGCCGCAGTCGCACTGCTCCCCTTCCTCCAGCACTCTGTTGCCGCACGAGGGGGACCTGTACGTGATATCGATCCGTGGCCTGTTCAAGAGGCACTGCGACGAGCCGAACCCCAGGAAGTTTCGGAAGTCCTTCACGCTGCAGCTGCTGAAGAACTTGGCGCCGTTGGACTGCCTGCAGGGGAGCATGCAAGGAAGAGCACTTTGCTCTAAGCCAAGGACCAAGGCACGAGCCGGTGCCTTTCGGGCTTTGCTCCTGCCACGGGGAATCCTTTCCACATTGGCATCCCCGCTGGAAAGCCCTTCAGAAGCAGCTGCCGGGACGCTGCACCCTGCCGTCGGTTCACGCGGGGCCAGATGTGGAAGCCCTGGAGAAAGATGGGGGCGTGTTGGGAGACACTGCTTCGCTTTAGTTTTGCGATGGCAGAAGAAATCTTTGTTTAAGGAGAGCCAGCGTGGCAGGGTGGTTCGGGGGTTGGACTGGGAACCTCGGGGATCTCAGTTCGAGTCCCCACTCCGCCATGAAGCTCACACGGGTTAGGCTGCGGGTCTGCCACGAGCCCACCTCACAGAACGGTTGTTGCTAGGACAAAAATGGAGTAGAGGGGAACCATGCAAACCACCTTGGGTTTCTTGCAAGAGGAAAAAGGTAGGCTAGAAATGCAATGTAAATACTATTACTGCAGATTTAGGCACGTGAGGGGGTGTCACGCAGAGGCGGGTCATGGCCTTTTTTCCCCTGCAGTGGAGGGCAGGATGTGTTCCAACGGAGCAATGCTCAGGGAACCAGGGTGGTTGCCAGGAAGCACTTCCGAATGGTTAGGACCTCAGGGGTATGGAATGGGCTTCCCCGGGAGGTGGGTGAGGCCCCGTCGGTGAGCGTGTTCAAGGACAGGCTGGACGTGCACATGGTGGGCAGGTCGTGGGTGGAGCCAACTGGAGCCGGGGGTCAGACTAGATGGCCTGGGAGCCCCTCACTGATTCAGTCTGTTTCTCTATTTCTATGCTTACTCTGGGGGAAATAATTCCAATTTGTTCCTGGGTCCTCACACCTCTCCACTGGGGCTGCAGGACACCCTCATTAGCAAACCTGCTCTGGCCCCTGGGGATTCTCCAGATGGCCGTTCCTGTCTCGAGCCAGGCCTCCGTCCCCACTGACCACCAGCTTTGGAGGTTTCCCAGCTTGTTCAGTTCTTTTCCCCCTAATTCCGAAAGATCAAAATGCCTTTTTTGAGGCTAAGCTACTGAAAAGAAGTGCTTTGTGTTCCACTAGGCTTGCATTTTTGGGCATTTCTGCCCACCCCTGCCAGAAGCCTGGGGACTGGTTGGGATGGATGTATGGACAGGTACACAATAATAAGCTTTATTTTGCCAACATGCAAAGGATAACCACGAGCATCCCTGTAGTAACTTACACTGCTTTGGTGTTCATCACACAGGTGGAAACTGGACAGAAGCACTCCCTGCTGTTGTCGAAGTGCAGGCCCAGGCTGATTCCCAGCAGCTGGGCAACGATCACCGAAAACGTCTCCAGCAAGATCCCGTCTTGGTACTAAATGAGAGCACAGACCACCCATGAGCAGCCGCGGCCGACCTCTCACCGTGCTCGTTATTACTCCCCACCGCCACTTCCGCTGGGCAGATGCGCAGCCCTGGTTCGGATCTGCTCGAATGCGCGCCCCTGCCCGTGCACGAGGGGGAAAGGATGTGCAACGGCGTGCAGGACAGAAGTTACAAGCAGCTGAAGATCGTGTGTGAGCACAACAATTATTTGCCTCTGCTGTGGAAAACAAAGGCATTTGCACTGGCGCTTTCTGAAGTGTGCGTCCCGCACATGCAACGCATAAAAGCGGAAGAAACGGAAAAAGTGAAGGAATTGTTTTTGCACATCCATAACATTTGGCACATGACATCCATAACAGCCCAAGGAGCTCTGACTTGCATGCCTCTCCCCCGCTCACACACACACACACACCCCTGCCTCAGTGGCTTCCTACTAAGCGCTTGGCGCATGTATGAACATGGGCTCAATCCTGCGCGCTGGCAATGCAGCCTCAGGATGCTAAAGGAGGCCGCAAACTGCACCCAGCCAAAATCACTCCCTCTGGGCCAAAGCAGACGGGGGGCCAGTTGCGTGCACCCCATCTCTGACGTCGTCCTTTGCATTTCGAGGGGAGCTCCCCCGGGGAACCAAGGCACGTGCGCTTGAAAGGCACAAGGGAGTTTTGCCAGGGCCTCGCAAGGGAAAGAGTCAAAACGCACACACACTTTGCCACCCGCTTCCGAGGATGTTCACACCATCTCAGGACTGCTTCTGACATACCCAAAGGCACCACAGCATTCGGACTCACAAGGGGAACCTTGTACCACTGTGCATGTCCCGGCCTTCAGCATTCGGGAGCTGCAGCGCAGGGAGAAGGGCAGCTGCCTTGCTTTGAACAACAAGCGCCGCTCAGTAGGCGGTGAGTGCTGACGTACCACAGCGACCCCTGCGGAAGAGGCTCTGACACACATCTTCCTGGCAAACGTGGACCCCACCGAAGGTGCCTTTTTTCGGTAGCTGCAGAAAGAAGAGGGAAGCCGTGAAGAATCGCAGCTGGTGCTTTCTCTTCCCAGGCACCACTCGGGACGTGCGCCTCCCTGGAATGCGCAGGAGCGCTCGCCTTCCACAACCCCGGGCAACGCGACCCTCTCCCGCTGCCTCAGTGGCCCCACATCTCCCCCCAGGCCTGGAACACCCATCCCGAATGTCCCGGGCCTCCACTCCCGCCTTCTTCAGAGCCAGTATCTGCGCCGGCCAGACACGGGGCCCCAGCTGCGCAGGCGAAGGGCGCAAAGCCCTTCCCCGGCAGAGGCCCTGGAAAGACGGCGCCGACCCGCACGGGCAGCCGGTCTCGCCTGGGCCGCTTCCCTCGCAGTCCGCATTGCCGCCTCTTTCTGCACCACCCGCGTTCCCCTGCGCACGGCCGTCATCCTCAGCTCGGCCTCACCCCCCCCCCCCCCCGCCCCCCCCCCCGGCGGGGCCCCCCCCCCCCCCCCCGCTGGTCCAGCCCCTGGCAGCAACCATCGCCCACGCCCTGCCCGAACCAGGGCAGGGCACATGTCCCCCTTCGGGTGAAATCGAGCAGGGAAGGAGCGTGCCGCTTACACAAACAAGAAGGACACGTCATGCGGCCGCAGCGCGAGGTGGGTCTGCTTCCATTCCACAAACTTTTCCAGCAACTCCTCCGCCGTTCCCAAGGTGGAGATTTTATCTCTGTCTATCCAAAGCTCCAGGGAGGACAGGATAATTCTCAGGTTGAGTTTGAAAAACATCTGAAAGGGGGAACAGTAGCACGCGCTGGAGGGAGGTGTTGAAACGGAGGCACAAAAGCTTGGCAGGGATGGCGAACTGAAGGGACTCCGCTTCGAGGGGTGCAGGGTCTTGCCGGCAGCTGGAATCGACGGTGAGCTAGGCAGGCAGTTTCACACACCCACACGAGTGTGCTGCACAAGGACAACTTCGGCACCTGGACTCCCTGAGCAGTGGCTAGAGCCCCCCTTCCCAGAAAGACCCTCCGCAGGACCTATTTCCCCCCACACGTACTCCAAGCAGCTTTGTGGGGCCGGGGCCAGCCACCTTTTAAAGTTCCCGCAATGGCCCCAGCGTAGTTCTTCTCTCGCGTGCTTCTCCGCCTGCAGTGCAGTTTCCCTGACCCCCTCCTCTCATTCGGGGCAACGCCATAAAAGGCAGGAGGAGGTGAAAGAGCTTTGATGGCAGAGAAGCGAATTCAAAAGCCAGAAAATAAGTGGGATGCTTTTGCAAGGAAACGGGACGGTGCCTCGGCACACTCCGTGTGCCAGTCCAGCCACTGCATGCACAAGAGGGCTGCTCCCGCTGCTAGTGCGTCCACCGTGGGGCCCGCTGCTCTTCGACAAGGCCGGTACCGAAACAGCCCTGCTCACCGCCTGCCCTCCTCCAAGTCTGGAAACCCACATTCATGGAGAGCGAAACAAAAGCAGTCGAGGTCCCAGTAGCGGATCCATTCCCCTCTGGGGAATACATCCCCCAGCATCCACAGCAGGAAAATGACACCCTGCACACCATTCCTACTGAGAAGGAGGCCTGCATTCCTTAGGAGAGAGCCTACAAACCACGGATTTTGTAAAATTGTTGTCCAGCCTCATGTAGCGGTGTCCAGTCAAGCTTGTGCCCAGGCGGCAAGCTGCCCGGAAGCCGAGACACCGCCATGCACTGGGTCATAAGGCCAGTGGAAAACCCTTCAACTTTCTCCTTCAAGGTGTAGTCTGTTCCCCCACAGGGCAAATAAGGCTCTCCCAGCTGGCTAGTTTCTCATCAGAAAGCCAACTTCCTAAGCTTCCGACCACTGAATGGGTACAGCATGCAGGGGGTGCCTGGGTGTCTCTCAGAGCACTGGCATTTCTGTGGCAGGTATCTCACCTTGGGATGGGCAGGATCCCCAAGGAAAGGAGAACGGTGCAGAGAAAGGGTCCAGGAGGCAGGGCAGTTGTCTTGGGAAAAGTCAAAAAGAGCCTTCATTGTAATTCGGTGCTCCAAACAACCCACCCTGCACACACAGGCTCCGGCGGCACAGAAAAGCGCATCGACTTACTGTGTTGAGGAAGCCCATGAGCTGCGTGATTTTCCTTGCCAGTACATCTTCATTAGAACCCATGAAATCATACTAGGGAAAACAACAACATCCCGCTTTTAGCCAGCTCGAAAAAGTCAGCACTGCTTTACACATGGCATGCCAAGAATATTTTTAAGTGTACTCCTAAAAATCTACACTGTCCCTCTGAAATAAATAAAAAAGGCTCCGTGTGTACAAGATGCCCCTCCCATGAAAATGGGAATTCTGCCCTGAACCAGCCCTGGAGTCAAAAGTGGATGCTGTTAGCAAATTAGGGATATATGGCCAGAAGCAGAAAATGACTTGATCAAAATGCTACCGAAAGTCGCGCAACACTTTTGCAGTTCTCAAATGGGGTAAGTGGACCACCCATGTCAAACGGAGAAGCAGTTTGACATGATTTCCTATCTCAGGCAACGCATGTCCACAGCGCCCGTTTCTAGATGGGTTTCAACCCTGATGGTTTTCATCAGCAGGATTACAATGTTTATGGGACAAATAGCCTCATTGGTGTCTCTGATTCAGAAGTATCCTGTAAAACATTATATACTTATTTGCGTTAAACCCTAACTTTTTCTTTTAGAAGAAAAAGAATGCAAAGCAGCTTACATCATTCTCCTCCCACTGCTCTGCGTCTTCTCCCCACAACAATAACCCTGTAGGGTAGGTGGGGCCCAGAGACTGGGACTGGCCCAAAGTCACCCTGTTGGCTCCATGGCCGATCGGGAACTAGAACCCAGATCGCCTGAGTCCCTGAGCGATGCTCTTAACCACTACACCAGACTGGCTCTCTTACACAAAGTATATACAAATCTGAACTTACCCCAGATAGTGTGACTTACTCAATAACTTTACAAGCTTTGAACGGTTGGTTACCATATGTAGAAGCAGTTGTTAAGGTGCTCAGGTTCAAAGCATCTCAGCCCTGGTGTCAGAATCTGGGCAGCTTCAGGACTCATCCTGCTGGCCAAACGCCAGAATAACAGCCCTGGTAGTTGCAGGATCGGTCCCCGCCTCTGCTGCAGCTGCCAGAGCCTTTGGGGCATCACCTGGGAGTCCTGCAGCTCTTCCTTCCAGAAGCTGCCTCCACAAACTGTAAGGTCTGGGGCATGGGCAGCAAGAAGCTAAAGAGGCACCAGGACCCAGGAAACACAGTCTGTAAATTATGCAGCCGAAGTCAAGCCATTACCCAGAGCAAGGCAAGGTGAAACAGGGAAGCAAGTGAACTGTGGTCCAGACAGCGAAAGCCACAGGTCAGGAGTCGAGACGATGGGATGAGGGCAGGGATGCCTTTGGAACAGGGTCCAGGAGAAAGAACCGGAAATAGGAGCAAACAGCAGGCAAAATCCGAAGCACAGAGGAGGACTACAGACACTGGAGAGCTGGGTTGCTGAGGAAGTTCCTGCAGCGAAGAGCCAGCTCTGAAATAGCTCTTCCCAAGGGCCCCCAGGTGGTGCTCATGAAGGCCCTGGAGGCTGCGTCAGAGGCTGGGACCAATCCTGCAACTACCAGAGCCAGCAGGAGGAGCCCTGAAGCTGCCCAGATTCTGCAACATGGGCTGAGACCCCTCCCACACATCCTGAATGAGCAGAAGCTCTGCCGGACCATTTTTCTTTTTGGAAAAGGTGGCGGCGGCCGGAGCGCATCAAGGAATGCCAAGGGAGGTCACACGTGCAGAACCCAAAATCTTGCACACAGGCAGCGTGAAGCCCCCCCCCCACCCCCAGGCAAGCCCAACTTCTGGACTTTGAGACAGCCTCCTGGCAAACTGAACCAGCCCAAGGCCAAGGAAACAGGGCCTACCAGAGATTTGGCGACGATCACGTGCATTTCCACATATCTCACAGTGCTGAAGTTGATCTGTTTTCGTCCATGAAGAGAACAAAGTTCAAAACCGTATTACTACCCTCTCGTGGCACGCGTGCTCGCTGCCCACCTCGTGCAAAGACCACCTCGTGAAACGCTACAAGAGCCAACACTTTCTGGGAAAGAGAAGGATGTGGCTGGGCTTGCTCCGAAGCCTGTGAGGACAATGGGGCCAAAGTCACCCCCTAAGGCAGCTGGGCACCCTGTGGCTCGGGAGAGACCCCTGCTCTGTGTGCAGGGCCTCCAACCAAAGGGATCACAGGCAGCATCTTGGAAGCTGAGGACGGAGCCGCGGTCTCCAGGGGCCGTGGGGAACACGCACGCCCAAGCTCCCAGCTTCGGTCCCTGGGGTGGTGGGCTTGGGGATGGGTGCAAGCATGGGATTTCCTTCCGAGGCAGCAAGCACAAGATCTAGTCAGGCATCACAGACAGCCGATTGTCAGGGGGTGTTTCAAGTCCAGCCATGGAAACTGAAGGACTTGCTGGGCTTTTGTGCTGCTGGATGGCTGGAAATGTCTGAGCGAAGAGTCATCATTCAGAGCCAAGGGGCGTTCGGTCCCCTCCAGCTCAGTTCCGCTCGTCTCTGGACAGGGCATCCCCAGCTAGCCAGCTGGTCTGGACTTGGGCTTGGTTTGCTTTGTTTGCCTTTGCATTGGGGGGAGGAGGCAGGCAGCCCCACGCCATCAAGTCTACCAAGGGAGGTGATTCAGACCAAGCGTCTTGGGAAAGGCGGAGGGGGCGGCTGTGGAACAAAGAGCGCAAGCAGACTAATTTAGAAAGACTGGGCATGCCCTCCGTCCAGCCCTCCAGCATCGTGAGCCACCCTCGGGGTTGAGTTAAGGCCGTTCTGCAAAGGTGGGAAGTGGGCGATTGTTTCAGTTTGGATTCCACTCTTCACATGGGCAGAAGCCACGCGCACAGATCAGAGGGGATCATTCCTTTGATCTGTGCTGCATGCGGGGCTGGCGAGGTGCAGTGGAGAGCTGTGACTCCAAAGCTCTCGTCGGCACCCGCTGGAAGGGGAGAAGGAAGCCCGGCAACGCAGACGGCACCGGGCCCCGCGAGGGCTGGAGAGGTCGGGGCTCAGCCTGTGCAGACCCAAGATCACAGGGAGGGGAGGGGGACCGTATCGAAAAGAAGCAGAGTGGCAAGTGGCCAGTAAGGCCACCGAGTCCAACCCCCTTCTCTGCTTCCGCACATGGCCCCCCATCCGATTAGAGCCCTGCACCTTTCCAGCCTAGCAACAGCAACTCAGAGCAGGCTTGTGGGGGCTGCTGTCCCTGTTTTGGGAGGGAGAGGCTGTTCCTACTCCCGAACAAACATTGTCTGCCCTGCTGACATCCCCCAAAAGCACCTAAAAGCCTCCAGGTGGGGGGGGTAGTTGTTTTTCTCATCATAAAGGCAACCGATACCCAAGAAAAGGCTAGCCACGCCGCTGCAGCCCTACTCCCCACTGATGTAGAGGCATGCAGAGAAAAGGGTTTGTTATTTTTCTCTGACCAGAAAACCCTCCAATCACCCGGTTTTGAAATCAGCACTTACTGGTACTCCTGGGTTTGCCCTTTGGTTCATTCCTGCACTCCACTTAATGGAATAATTCTCTTTCGAAACACTGAGGTCCCTGCTGCTGTACTCAATCTGATAGACGAGATGCTGAAACCCGGAGGTGGACGTCACGGGCTCAATTCCGTAGGTCAGGTTCTCAAACAGCAACACCCCACTGGCCAGCAGTCAGGAGGAAGAAAGACAAGTTGCACCGTCAGCCACGACTTCAGGGGATGATTGCTGAATTTCTGTCTCGCTTGTCGCGCTGCTTCAGCTTGGCTGTGAGCGATCCGTCTTGGGGCCGTCGATCCATTTTCCTCAACCCGGTGCCCCACACATGACTCAGATCAGTGGGACTATGCATTTCAGCTATGCCTAGTTTTGCACTTATGGGAAGGAGTATCACAGAAGGTGGGTCGTTGCACATTTGCTCAGAGCTGTGGGCTCAGCTGTGGTCGTGCGGAGACCGAGGTGCGACGCGCTTGGCCAAAAGGCGCATGGAGCACTCACCTGAGCCCAGTGCAGGTGCTGAGCGTCACGAGTGAGTTTGTGTACGTTTCGACGTAGCCTTGATAGTAGCAATCCCGCTGGAAAACACGGTAGGTGCATAGCCGGCACAAGAAATGCCTGCCAACCCCACATGGGCCCCTCCGTGGGCTGTGCACGCCTGCAGGCACACACAGCGAGGAGGTTCCCCTGCAGTTCGGACCCCACATGTTTGCCCCTCCACGAGCCCCCTTTCCAAGCTTTTCCTGGAAGTGGCAACGCCCAGCGGGGCTTCAGCCGCCACAAGACCAACCCGCGCCATTTAAGCCTTGAGTAATCCACCTCCCAGCATGCCCCAGGCCCCAGGCTGAAGTTTACCTGAATGGAAGGGGTCGTGGAGACTACGCTCCCCGAATGAGTATATGTGTACACCCTGAAATCGTTGGCTAAAATGGATCTACGAGAAAGCAGACACAGAGGTGCACAAAAGAGGAGGGGCGTGTGCCAATGCCGAGCATCCCAGCAGCCCGGACCGGCTCCTTCCTCGGACAGAGGGGGGCAGTCCTTGTCCCCCACGGCTCCAGGTGCTGAAGTGTGAGGGGCTGAGCCGAGTTCCCACACACTTACACACACGTGCATGCACAAACAAATGCAAATGGCTTTCTCACACCCTTTTGACTGTTCAGAGACTAATATTATGAAACTAAAAGGCTAAACGGCTACTGGCAATAAGCGCAGCAGGTTTAGGGTTTAATGAAGCTTTCCCATTTTGAACAGCTGGCCTTTTAGGCTGAATCTGCATATGCATAAAAATATGGATGTTTAGGGTGCCGTCATTGATGTCTATGCATTATTATTTTTAATAACAGCAGTTTGTTTTGTTATAGACTAACACAAAGAGGTATAATATATGTGCTGTGAATCTTTTTGGCTGGTGTTTAAGGTTTGCAATGCTTCAGTTTTGTTCCCTTTTCCCATTCTTTCCTTTTTAATGGTGTGGTTTGCGGTTGTTGTTGCTGCTGGTTTGCATGCACACACTTCAAATCTTGGCCTGTCCAGGCCAGTCCAGCTCCAGGATCCCAGCTGGGCTGGACAGAAAAGTCTTGGACTAACTAGGCGTGACTAGGGCCGAGGAAGGGGTGAGCACCGTCGCAGAGGGGCTTTTCCGAGAAGGCTTGCACCAAAAGGAGGCGGGAACGCGCATCATGCCACTCTTCCCTGAACAAACATTTTTAAAACCCTTAATGGGATTGCAATGGCTTAATTAACGGATCCCTAATTTATTGAAATGTCTAAGGTGTATTAAGCAAGAGTGCAAGCAGAGCTATATATTAACACACCAAAACCTGACACGCAATGCCCAGCAATTCCTTCTACTCACTGTTGCTTCAGGTGAATTGTGTACAGCTTGTTCCCGAGAACGATGTCGTAGGACATCCTTTCCTGCAACAAGTCAAAGATTTCCTCATGCAATCGGTGTTTTAGAGAGAGGGATACACAGTGAGAGAGAGAGACACAGAGAGAAGTTTGACTCATGCAAACAGTCAAGACATCCTGCTTACCTACCAAACAGACAGTTCAAAAGCAGCTTTCCTGCTAGAGATGCAGCAATTGCAGATGGGGGTCCTTTTTACCCCCCCAGTTGCTAAAAGTGGGACTGAAACTGTGCTCCAAGCAGCTTATATAGCGAAAAATGGGTTCCCCAACCCAGCGCACTCCTCATCTGTCGAGAGCCCGTGTGGCGCAGTGGTTAAGAGCGCAGGACGGGGACCCAGGCAACCCGCTCAGCCACAGAGCTTGCTGGGGGACTTGGGCTCAGCCACAGACTCTCATCCCAGCCTACCTCACAGGGTTGTTGTTGTGAGGATAAGATCAAGAGGAGAACGAGAATCATGTAAGCCAGCTCAAGTTTCTTGAAAGGAAAAAGGTGGGATATAAGTATCCTTAAATACAGAAATAAAATAAAGCTATGGCTTCTATTATGCCAGGCTGAGGATGACCAGAGACATATTTAAAGGGTGCCTGATCTATCCTTGTCCCTAAGATGCAAGTGGGGGACCTTTTGGCTCTGAGGGTCTCATGTCACCATAGGGAAGCAAGGTGTGCCATCTGGCTGTCTCCAGGTGTGCACACACATCTGGGGGCAGGTGGAAAGGCAGTTTTTCTGTATCCCCACCTGCTATGACAGAGATAGCTGGTCTCTTAGCTCCCTGTCTTTTGGCGAGTAGCAAAACCTACCCCTTTCACCAAGGTTTAGGTTCTGTACAAGACGGAAGGGCAGAACCTCGGGTCCAGGGAGTAACTTTTGTCCCTCCTGCTCCCAGTACAGTGCAAGGTTCCAAAATGGCTGCACCCCCTTCCCCAACTACAGAAAAATGGCTGCTGTTCTTGTTTTGGGAAGTCCTCCGCATTCTAACTGGCTCAGCGATCCTGGCTTTCGCCCCTTTTGTCTCTCATCCTCCTCCACTTGCATCTAGAACGAGGCTCCCAAAATGGAACCTGCCCTTGGCTGGCGCAAGGGTACAGCTGGCCAAGACTGCGGGTGGTCTGTGGCCAGATTTCTGGCAAAAAGGCCGCTGCACGCCCTGAAAGGCATCTTACGATTAGTCCGGCTGGGCACGAGGTGGGCAATGCAGCCAGGAGGAACACCGCAGGAGAAAATGGTCCCTACACACACACGCACAGAGCGCCCTGCCCCAATGCAGACGCGGGCAAGGGGGCTGGCAGAAGCTGGCCTTTTTAAAGCTGCAGAACTGCTGCCAGAACACCAAGGTGGGCCCAGAGCGCGTGGCTTTTTCAGAGCAGTGGGTGCTCCGAGTCTGTTGGCACTCTTAATGGTACCCGATAAGCCTCGCTGGCTCGGGCAACTTGGAAGGGGCGGCCGAGGCAGCAAGATTGTCGCTGTTGTTCAGTCGCACAGTCGTGCCCAAGCCTTCATGACCTCACGGACCACAGCACTCCAGGCCCTCCTGTCCTCCACCGCCTGCCCCAAATCCATGCTGATTACACCAGGGACCCCACCCGGCCCCCTCAGCCTCTGCCGCCCCTCCTCCTCTTGCCCTCAGTCGTCCCCAGCACCAGGGGCTTCTCCAGGGAGTCCTTCCTTCGCACTAGGTGGCCGAAGCATTTGCGCGAGATGGAATAGCTCAGACGCGTACCGTGTTTCCGGACGCGTACACGGGGACTCTCTGAGGGACGATGACCTGCAGAAGCGTCCGCCGCGATCCTAGGCAGGAGAGACACTCCTGTCATCACTTGCTTTTGGAGAAGGTGTGGACCGCCTTTTCCCGATACTCCTTTCCCCTTCCCTTGGGGAGCCGTGCCACCCGTCCCCCACCCCCCAGTCCCTTCCACTGCAGGTGATGGTGCAGCACGCTGGGCGTGGGGGAAGAGGAAATCCCATCTTTATTTATTTTTTTTTTTTTGAAATCCCTTATTTTTTTAATTAAAAAATCCCGTTTTCAGGAGTCCGGAAGCAGCAAGGCCTAGACTGCAGGCTGCGCGGGCGAGGCCCGAGGACAGCTCTGCCCAACGCCACCCACGTGGGACTGGATCACTGTAACCCGGTCGGGGCAGGGGCTCCGGCTCGCCGAGGCCCCGAGGGATGGCGGCGCCCCGCGCCCCGAGGGCTCCCCCGCCGCGCCCAGCCCCGCGGCTCACCCAGCACGGAGACCAGGCAGGCGGTCAGCAGCGCCCCCGCCAGCCGGAGCAGCGCCATCGCCGCCCGCCCGCTTCCGCCGACCGGTAACGGGCGCGCAGGAACGCGAACGGGGCGCGGCCCCGGCGGAGCCCCGCTCACACCGCCCGCGGCCGGGAGCCAGCGCGGGCGGAGCGGGGCGGAGACCCTTTGGGGGCAGTGCGGGCGGGGGGGATAAGAAGGCCCAGGCCGGTCTCTGGGGGCGGGGGAAAGGGAAGGGGCAGATCCGTCCGGCGCCGCCCCGCTTGCTGGATGGCCCGCTGGCCCCTGCGCAAAACCCGGCCAGGTTGCCCAGTTCACGCGTGGGATCTGGCTGAGGGCTGCCCGCTGTCGGAGACGGTGAACTGGGCTCGACAGGCGATTGGTCTGACCCAACGCGGAGGACAGCGTAACCGGAACTTGCATCGGGCCACCCTGAGTTAGACAGGGAGATCCCAGTCATACGATTTGAGGTGTCCCTTCCACCCGCCCGCCCCAGTACGGTTAGGCTAGCCAGAAATTCCATAGGTGGGAGTTTGCACAGGCACCTGCGCTCTACGTGGTGCTGCCCGTGAAGACGGTCCGGATACTTCAATTGGTTCAAAACGGAGCTGCCAGGTTGCTGACGGGCCAGTCACTCTTCTCACATAATGCAAGTCCTCTGCCGGCTGCACTGGCTCCCGATTGAAGTCCGGGCCCACATTAAGGTGCTGGTATTGACCTATAAAGCTCTAAACAGCTTGGGAGCAGGATACCCGAAGGAACATCTTTTTCCCTATATGCTCTCCTGCCCCCTAAGATCGGCAGCAGGCACCCTTCTCCGGGAACCCCTCATGAAGGATATTAGGAGGGTAGGTACTCGGAGGAGGGCTTTCTCTGCGGTGGCGCCCCATCTATGGAACGCGCTCCCCAGAGAGGTCCGCCTGGCGCCATCGTTATTTGTTTTTCAGCACCAGGCGAAGACCTTTTTATTTAAATGTCATTTTAATCGTTACTATTTATTGATTTTACATCTTTGGCCAGGACGTCTCCAATTATATTGCTTTTATATTGTTATTGTGTTGTTTATTGTTGTGAGCCGCCCCGAGGCTTCGGCGAATGGGGCAGCATAGAAGCTTTCTAAATAAATAAATAAAATATGTCCACCTGGGAGATCAGAGAAATGGGTTCCGTTGTGCTTGGAACACTTCCAAGTGGGAACCCTTGGTACAAGTTGTGAATGTGGCTATGATCTTTCCTTTTTTGTTGTTTAGGAGGAGCGCTCTCTCTATCTATCTATGTAGATAAATATATACTTGTTTTGGTCTAGCAGCCCAACAAAACCAAACATCAGTGGAAAGCCACCGAGAATACAAATCCAGGGCTAAAACACAAATGCATGTGCAGAAAAAGAAAAGGGGACGGGGAAAAAATACGATCACCCCGTGGCAATCAGATCCACCAGACTGACCTTGAGAGTAGTACCAATAGCTCCGCATCCACAACTGTGCACTCACATGCACATATATTCAGACTCACTACTATGAACTGGGATCGGTTGACCTAGTGTCAGAATGAGCGTCGAGACAGAAGTGGTCATCAGCAGCCCCTGGGGAGGCCTGCAGCCCCTTGTGTGGTCGAGGGGGACGATTTTTCTTTAATGGCTGCACTCCACAACTGAACCTTTTCCTGAGGTGCAAATGCAGCCATCGGAGTTACCTGTGGAATTTCTGCAGGTGTTAAAAGGTATGGGAGGCTTCCTGGAACAGAGGGTAGAGGCCAGAAACCTTATGAGCTGCTGTGGTTTTTTTTTTTTTTTTTTTTTTTGAGGATGCCTGTGCAGGGAATTTCTGACCCCCCAGCGGGAGGCAGCATAAGCCTGATCGATCTGGGGAATAAAGACTGTGTGCTGTTGCTGCTCCTTTCCCCTTCAGTCCCCGGATTCTGTCAGGGTGGGGAGCATATTTCCTGTGCTTCCCACCATCCGCAGATGCTCCTAAGTGCAGGCAAGCCAGTTTGGGCCTTCGGCCTTGCCAAAGTGTGCCTACCCCACCCCCTGCCTCCATCAGTTTGAGAAAGCAGGTCAAGATGTTCAGGGCATGAATCCAGGTGGAGACTGGATCTAAATGTCCAGGTACGTGCATATTCATGGCCTTCAAGATATAGCGGCATCTCCCACCCTGCTTTGGGAGTTCTATCACAACAGTGCAGCAGGAGGAATTCAATGGAGCCAAGCTCAGGGAACCAGGGTTCAGTTTGGATGCCAGGAAGCACTTCCTGGCAGTCGGGACCCTGAGGGGTGGAATGGGCTTCCACGGGAGGTGGTGGAGGCCCCATTGGTGCCGGTGTTCAAGGATAGGCTGGATGTGCACATGGTGGGCATGTCATGAGCGGAGCCGACTGGAGCCGCGAGTCAGACTAGATGGCCCAGGAGGCCCCTTCTGACTCGCTCTGTTTCTGTTTCTAATTCTAATGCCCTGTGCCTTGTTTGCTCTTTGTGACCAGATGCCGGTCTAAAGGAAGCAAAACACTTATGATGTGAACACATTCTGCACATGGTGGAGCATGTTGGCCTGTTCGTGGATTTGGCTGGCTGGGAGTGCTCAGCTGTTCTCCCCATCAACCCCACATTCCCCAGGCTGCCCTGGCATCTTTTAACCTTTGCAGGAGGGCAGGAGAAGCAGCTGTGGGGTGGAGCAGTGGAGATCAGAAAGCCAAGAGGTGGGCAATTCAGCGCCCCTTTTGCTCCCCCACCCCATTCCAGGTGCATTCCAGAAGAAGGGAAATAGCAGTCCTGTTGTCCGGCAGTTCAGGGGTTCCTGCATCAGGACTAGTTTGCCCCCGCCCTGCCTGGTTTCCAGCAGCTGGACCAACCATCGCCGGGGGGTTCCAAACGACTCCACTGATTTCTTTTCCCAAAAAGGGGAGGGATTGGGATCTGTTCCTCCTCGCCATTCGTTGCATGTCCGTTGGCAATGCGGGTCCCAGCTCTGAGGGTGTCTGGGGCAAGATGCTCTCTGTGGGGTCTCCTCTGGAGTCATCCCCCATCCCCCCACGACTGCTGCTGCCAACAGGCCTCCTCCTCCCTTGGTCCCAATCCTGGGAAGGCACATTATTTGGGATATTTCTAACCCGTCCGATCACTCTGTGTCTCTGGATGGCATTATTATGAAAGCAGGGATTCAATCCATGCCGGGGGGGGAAAGCTTGAGGGTAGAAGGGGGTGGGGAAATATTGGGAAGGGAGGTGCCCGCTGCCTTTTGAAATCCGCTGCGGTGCCACAGGCGACCTGTCCCAGGGAGAGAGGGGCACCGTGTGCGGGCTGGGTGCGGCCTTTTCTCCCGCGAACGGCCAGCGAGTGGCAAGGCGACGGAGCCGCTTGGCTGGAAGCCTGGGCCACGGGCCTCGGAAGGCGCCCAGCGGTGCTGCCGCCTGCCACCGGCTCAGCCCGTCGGATGCAAGCTGCTCTCCAAAAGGCACAATACCATCCAACACGCCATCCAAAAGAGCACCCGAAGGCCGCGTGTCACCCAAGCGTTACGTGCAAGAATAATTTATTATGTAAGAGCAAAGCATACGTCAACACACGGGGGTGCAGCGGTCTTGCGATCTCTCCCCTTTGCTGCACGGCAAGAGGCTGGTCATGTCATGTCTGGATGTGTGCTGGTGCTGTGCAGGTCCGTGGAGAGAAAGGGGAAGACAGGGCGAGTCAGAGCAACGCAGTGAGGAGAATCAGCAACTGGGCGGCCGCTTTTTAAAATAAGAACCGGGGGAAGGTGGGGAAAGAGGTGTGTCCATCATATGGGTGGCTGAGTGAAAGAGCCCGGAGATGCCACCTCAGAAGGAGGGGAGATCGGCAGGAACTCTGCCCTGACAGGTTCCTTCCCAGCTTATGTTCCTCTTTAAGGTCTTCTCTTCCCGAAGAGGGAGCAGCACGGGGCTTGCCTGCACCGCAGCCCCGTTCTGGCTCCCCTCAGACCTGCCACTGCTCAGTTTAAGGTGTGGCTTCACCTGCCTCCTTCAAGGCCGGCTGAGTTCCTCCTCCTCTAGAAAAACTCTTGGGAGGAGGCGGACGACTTGTCCTTCCTGCTGCCTTTGTAACAGTTTCTTGGAGATACGATGTGCAGTTGCAAATCCGGTACTTGAAATGCACCGGCAAGAAGAGCCAAGACCCACCGCCTTCTGCGCAGGCCAGGAGGGCAGCCCACCCCTTGGCAGCAGCGCCGGCCAGCTATGTGTGGTGTGCTTAACCCACCTGCTTCAAGAGTGACTGTCCCGCAGCGGGTACAGGTGCTCTGAATGGGGGGCTGGGACCCTAAGGAACCCTGCCGGTGAAGCCGAGGCCTGAGGAGCGGCCCAGGGGACTGGCCGTCACCCCAACACACCCATCCCAGTGCGGCTTCACACGAGCAGCCCCAGTGCAGCCTGCTTCTGTGTTTCATGGGGGTCCCTGGATAGATACTTGGTGTTCTCGAGAGACAAACCACATTGCTGGAGCTTAATTTACTGGCGCTTACCTTGTTCGGTCTGACATGCTCAATTCTTCTGACCTAGAGTACGATCTAGAATACAATAAGAATTAAGACTGTTTCAAAAGCGGTTGTAAGTTGGTAGTGAGGCAAAGGTAGGTCACGACCTACTGGTAGATTTCCAGGTGACCAGCAGAAGATCTGCAGGGGTTTCTGAGTCCCAGTCCCTGCCCAGTGGTTGCAGAGGGAAGAGGCTCCACCCCCCAGTGACGTCACTGAAAGGAAGAGTGGCGGGAAGAGGTGACCGTGGACTTGGTGCCGAAACCGAACCCCTGGGTGTATGGCTGGTCCATAAGCCATTGCTGGCTTTACCTCCCAGTCGGTAGAGCTTGGGGTTTGGGACATGCTTGCGTGCACACCCAGCCACACACAGAGGTTTCCTCAAGGCTCTCCCCCAAATGAAACAGAGCAGTTTCTGGGAGGACAAGAATTCCACCCTTAAATTCTAATATTTCATGTTTCTCAACAAGTTGTAGCTTTGGGGGGAATTAGCATGAATGATCTCAATTGTCCTTGCGGACAGAAGTGGAGGATGTCCAGTTCTTGGCTATGGAATGGGCTTCCACAGGAGGTGGTTGAGGCCTCCTGAGGGGGATCAGTGAGGGGGTTCAAGGATAGGCTGGGCATGCACATGGTAGGCATGTCATGAGCAGAGCCGGCTGGAGCTGGGGGTCAGACTAGATGGCCCGGGAGACCCCTTCTGGCTCGCTCAGTTTCTGTGTGTCTATCTCAGATGTGAGTGAGGTTGTACAAAATAAGGTTGCAAAATAAGGTACAAAAGTGAGGTTGCTTTCCAAATAAGCCCTAAAGGGATCGGGGGAAGAGAACCTCAGAAGAGCACAATGAGGATGGAAGGTGCCCAGCAGCCAAGGACTCCTGGCCAGCCGCTGGGGACGCAGGGCAGAAACAGAAAGCCGGGTGCAAAGGGAACGGAGTGGGGGAGCCTGAGAGGGCCTGGCCGAGGCCACGCCACGCCGCGCCGCAGACCGCTCTGTGCAAAGGACTGGTGCGGGAGCCGGTCCAGGCAAGCCTCTTACTCGCTATCGTCTTGCGTCTCCGGCTCCTCCGTGCAGTACTTCGCGATTCGCTTCCACCTGATGGCCAGGAAAGCCGAGCCGGCGAGGAGGGGCAGGAAGAGGAAGATGCTGAGCAAGATCCACCTCCGCATGCTGTCCTCCGCAGCTCTCTCGGTGAGATCTAGGTGGAAGCAGACCTCTCAGCGGCTTGACACCACCGTGAAGCGCAGATCGTTCACAGACCGTGTGCCTGGCCATGAAGGTGACGCGGGCGGGTGCTGCTTCCACAGGGCAGCAATGGGGCCCGATTCTGCGCAGGGGCAGGGATGTGCTCAGGCAACGGCTCATGGGAGCCGCCCTGATGCTCAGAGGCGCTGCTGCCATTTGCCTGCGGGAGGGAGAGGAAAACCCCTGGCTTCTTGGAACCCGCGACCTTCATACCGAAGCATGTGGGGTCAGCAACTTGGGAGCCGCCGCCTCTAGCAGCTTGTTATGCCACAGCTCAGTGCGACTGCATCGGGGAAGGGGGGCGGGGGGTGGGGGGGGGCTCTTTTTCCATCTTCCTGCTGCTTCCCTGGCCTAAATCAGGTCCCTGTGTCTCAGTCACTGCAAAATGTGTCTGCGCACGACACATATTTCTGGTGCCGATAGACAGGTGACTCCGCATCCGCTGAACTGCATTTTTACTGTATTTCAATTTTAAGGAGTGCGAGTCGTCCTGAGATGCCAGGCATGAGGGGTGGCATGCAAAAGTTTTAAATTAATAAATAGTAGATAAACGGCATGCTCTCATCAATTGCTGGTGGAAGCTGACCGTGCAAATGACGGCGAGAGTCAGCAAGGCTGTTCCTGCTCATGCCACAACTGGGAAATGGGTTTTTTTCCAAGGCAGCGGCTTTGTTAAGACCCAGGAGGTGCTGAGGGGCACCCTTGGAGGCTAAACTGAGAGCGCCTGCTAGGAGAGAGAAGCAGGTCCCACCGGGCCGAAAGAAGATGGCCTCCGACCCCAAAACATTTTCCCATGCCTGCTCTAGAAACGCGGTATCAGTGATATGGGCTATGTTGCCTGTTATGGGATAGCGTGCATGTCTAGCTAAAGTTTAAGCAGCTTTAAAAAGCTTAAGCGGGACTCCGTGGCTTCAATTCGTGGTGCAGAGTGTATCCCCGAAAGACGGACAACCCCCGTCCCAGAGCCACCCCGCCTGGCAAACCACTTGCGCACCGGATTCCAGAATGCGAACCCCGCTGTCCACGCTGCCCCCCAGCGGGCTCCCTCTCTCCTTGCAGTTTGGCGGCGCCCATCCGGGGTGGCAGTGGCAGTTCTTCTTGCTATTGCAGAGCTGAGAAGGGGAAGCGGGGAGAAGAGCAGCGCTCGCGTCACACTGACACTGCACGGTCTTAAAAGGAGAATGCGGCAGCAGCAAGCAAGGTTCACTCCTCCGGCTCTTTTGAGCCACAACTCCCATCATCCCTGGATATGCTGGCTGGGGCTCCCAGGAGCCGCAGGCCAAAACATCTGGAGGGCTTAGGATGCCTAGGAAAAAGCATTTCCTTTTTCTTGTGTTTTCCTGGGGCCCAAGCCCTGGTCCCCCCGATGGAATGAAATCGAGCGTGCAAACTGCAGCCTGGTCCTCACAAGCAGCGGTGGAAGGGCCAAGCCTGGGCCTAGGCCAGAGTCCCCACCTTCCCCCAAAGCAAGGTGTAGACCCTCCAGCCCTCGGGGGCTCTTCCGAAGGCAAACACCCCTTCTACAGTCACACGCTCTTGGATGCTTTCCTGGCTTTTGTGCAGCTGAATAAGAGAGGGAGCCCTGGCAAGCTTTAAAATCATCTGGCGTTTCTGGCCCTGCCCCTTCACCTGAGGACCCACCTTCCAGGGAGATATGGCCCCTGAAAGCATCTCCGAATTTGAATTCAGAGGGTGACTTGCACCCTGTTGGGCTGCTAAGGGGTGGCCCAGCGTGGACGCAGGGGACAGGAAGGTGCCGCCCCCCCCCCCCGCAGCCTGAGATGGTGCAGTCCCCTCGAGCACAGCAGGGCTGCCCTGCCCTTTCCCACACAGGGTTGCATGCAGGTAAGCCAGCAGCCCGCGAGGCCCTGCCTCCCCCTCTGCCAGCAGCAGTTCCCACCCTGGCAATGCAGCCCTCGCCCCACTCACCCCGTGCCCGGAGCACTTCTTCCCAGGATCACAATCGTACCTCAGGATGCTGTGTTTTTCGCACACCTGCTTGATGCAGACCTGGAGGAAAAGCCACACCTGTCGGTTCTCAGGCGCACCAAGGTCAGAGGAGGCCTTGTGCCGCACCAGCACCTCCCACCCTGCCGTGTGTGTCGGTGTTTCCGCGAGGCATTAAGCGCCAGGACATCAGCCCTGGCTTCCACAGGTGCACAGACGAGGTGGCCGAGGTTCTCCAGGGGGACCAGGCCAAGCACTGTTCGCACACGCAGACCAAAAGCGTGAGGGGGGGGGCACCAACTGGGCACCTGCCAGAAGAGGGTTGAGATATGCAACGCCCCTCTGAAATAATCATGGGGTGACATTTGGAGGGAGAAGTGGGGGGGCGGGATGCACATATCTGCTCCCCCTCTGCCGCTTCTCCCCCACAGCCCCTCTTTACCGCATGGACTCGTCTTCCGCAATCCACCACAAGCTGACTTCCCAAACAGCTCCCACCGGCTGGCGGCCTCCAGGCTGTCTCCCCGCACAGACCTTTCCAGAGGCCCCCCAGAGCCCTTCCTTCCCAGGTCCGGGTCTTCTCCTCAAACCCACAGGTAGCAAATTCGGAGGCAGCGGAGGGCGAGACGCTGTAATGAGCAAGCCAACTACGCTCTGGCCTGCCTGCAGCGGCTGCCTGGATGCTTCCTGTCCCCATTCGTGGTGCTGGCCCTAACCCATAAAGCCCTACAGGGTGTGGGACCGCAGGACCGGTTGGAGCACCTCCCCCAGCCCCTGGGGCCCTCCTCCAGGTGGCTCAGAGGGCGGTGACTGGGGGGGCCCTTTGGGTGGTGGCCCCCATCTTCGTAGCAACCTCCCTGCCGTGGCATTGCCGTCTTTTCTGCACCAGGTTTTGTGGAGGCCTTGAAAGGCTTCCCTGGTCATCCACTGGCCTGATGGGTTGATCCAGATGCCTTTTCCCTTTCTTCCTGGCCAGGTCTTTTCATTGCACTTTAATGCATTTTAATTCATTCTAAATGCTTTCAATGTTGTTCTATGTACTATATTTTAATGGATTTATATCGTGGTGTGAACCAGCCAGAGAGCTGCAGCTGTGGGTGGTACAGAAATGATCGTGATCACGAGCACAGGAGGAGACGGAGACGGAGACAGGAGGGAAGGAGGGGACAGAGAGGGGACAGGGGACGGCGACGCAGCCTCCCTTTCCAGCCTCCGCCGTCTCTTCAGCGCAGAAACGCGAAGCCCTTTTGGGCGGCTGCTCCGCACGCCCCCAACTGCACCCCGGCCACCACGCCCCGTCGCTCACCTTCTCCACTCCGCATTTGGTGCCTTCTTTCACCAGCATGGGGTCAGAGGCACCTTCTGGCTGTTTAAGGTCCAAAGATATACAGACAGTCCCTTTCACTGGCGTATATAGGACAGGAACCTTCATTTTAGTAAAAGGAGTTGTGTAGGGATATGTGCAAATTAACTTTCCACATCTGATATTCCTACCAAAGGTATGTGAAGAAGAGAACAGGATCATACTGCTTGCAAAGGGTGGGACGACGTATCAAAAACTTGCCAACACTGTCAACTCAGCTAAGCTAGGCACATTTCGCAGGACGGGGGCGACTCCGGCAGGGGGCAGATGCAGCAGGGGCGCTCCAGGGCGGCTGGGGCATCTTGGCTGCCCCTTCACGGATCGCGCCATGCCCCACCCGCACGGCACGGAGCGGAGGGCTCTCTGCAGGCCACCTCCTCTGCCTGGTCCTGCACAGCTTGCGAACAGGCAGAACAGAGGGGGCGTTCCAAGTCCCGGGGCGGGCGGGCAGGCCCGGGACCCCCGAGGGTTTCCAGCGTGGTCTGAACTCGCCTATGCTGTTCAAGGGGATGCAGGAAATGCCCCCAGGGGGCAGGTCTAACACTTGGTTTGAGCCAGGAGGGCTGGGCAGAGAGTCCACGTGCCAAAGTGGTACAGCCCTGAGTGCCTCATGGTAGAGACCAAACAGATGGCTTGACTTCATGGGGGAACCTGCCAGCAGCCTTTCCGTAAACAGTGCTCCTGGAGTGGTCGGAACATTTGCTCAATCATGTAGGGCATTCTTACTTGATAAGAGAAAACTCAAGGCGGCCAACAAAGTGAAAGAAAACTGGGGCAAAGCAAAGCAATTTAAAAGCCCCCCCTCCTCCTCCTGCTAAACCTCACGGTGGATGGTACTGGCAGAGCATGGCAGGAGAAAGGCTGGTGATGCCTACAAGGAGACGCTCGGGCTCCCCTTCCTGACCCCAACGCTTCGCTCCGCAGCCCCGCACCCCCCGGCTGCCTCAGCACCTACCGAAGAGAGCACGTCTTAAATCCACTTCTGCCATCGGTCCCACAGTGTCCAAATCGGTCTGCCTGGCTATTAACCTCCTCATAACACATGTGGGGAGCATTCCGAGACCCTGCCAATATTGAGGTTGCCTTAGTTAAAGAACCTGAGGAAACGGTTACACACTTCGAGGTCAGGGCACGAGCCTGCGGACTCCTTCCGGCCTGTCTCCCACACAGCCCATGGAAACAGCGGCTTTCTTCTGGAGCGATGCGCTTGCACTGCTGTGTTCAGTGAGATTACTCACGGGTAAAGGTCAGATTGCAGCCTCAACCAGCTTTTTATTCAATGATGACATTGCTTTATAATTATAGATCCTTGGTTTTGTTTTAGATGTATTGATAGATTTTCTATTTACATCATTATTGTTAATGTAACATATGAATTGAATTGTTGTTGAAACTGGTAACAGACTCCCGAGTCTTTCAGCAAAGTATGGGATATAAAAGCTTTTAATAAATAAATAGTGCAATTCCACAGAGGCCCCACAGAGGTGACCAGACGTGGCTGCCAGTCTCGGGGGGCGGCTGCCACTTGCCCCAATGGCAAAAAGGGGTTCTCTCACTCAAAAGGGGAGACAATCCGTGGCCACCGACAGCTTGGGACGCGGGTTCCTGGGCTCCTGCAAACCACCCCAAAAACTGCAGGAAGTGCTCCCCCATTTTCTCAATCTGAGAATGAGATTGCAAAGGGGGAGAGGCAGTTTTGGTTCAAGCCTGCAGGCACCACACCTTCACTGATACAACAGGAAGTCCCCCTCTCCAGGGAGCTCTGGAAACTGTCGTTCCAGCGGGCAAGCGGTTCCATAGCTGGAGGGCCGTAGCAAGCAGCAGTCCTCGCGGTTCACGGAAGCGCAGATAAACTGTTCCAAAACCAGTAAAAGTGCCTGGCTTAGATGTGCAAAAGTGTGTACATTTACACACGCAGAAGAAATTTTTTCTGCATTTTTAAATGGCAACGAGTAAAAATATTTTTTTCTTTGCTTTAAAGGGGCAGGGATGCGAGAGAAAAGCCGAGGAAGCATCTGGCTTGCTTACTTTTACCGAAGAGGTCCTGGCAGTGGAGATCGGGGGACTGACAGGATCCGCCGTAGCAGAAGCCGGTGTTGGAGGCACACTGGAAGCCGTTCTGGACGTGTACGTCCGCGGGGCAGGACGCGGCGCTCCCGTTGCAGTACTCCGGGAGGTCGCAGGCGCCATCCACCGCCGGGCGACACACCACGTTCCTCGGCTTAAACTGGGCAAGAGCACAAAGGAGGGGCCGGTGACCGTCCTCCTGCGGAGAGACGCGTGTTCCCCCTAACAGGCAGCCCCAGCCCGAATTTTTTCGCCTCGGATTCTAGCCTCCTTCCCTCTGTGCCTGCCCGCCCCTTGAGATCTGGGGCAGAGGCCCTCCTCCAGGAGCCCTCCCTGAGGGAGAGCAGGAGGGTGGCTACCCAGAGAAGGGCCTTCTCTGCAGCGGCACCCCAACTGTGGAATGCGCTCCCCAGAGAGGTCTGCCTGGCGCTGTCACTTTATTTTTTTCAGCGCCAGGTTAAACCCTTTTAATTTTCCCAGTATTTTGACTGTTATTTTAATATGGGTTTTATTGTCAGAAATTGATTAGGATGCTATGTTTTATTTTTTGTCTTACTGTTAAACTGTCCCAAGAGTTTGGTAAGGGACAGTCTAACAAAGTTTTAAACAAACAAACAAACAAACAAACAAACGCTTGTGAGAATTATGTGAGAAACCCCCAAATTGCCTCCCTTCCTTGCAACAGCATCCGTGTTTAAGCCTGGGGGAAACAGCGGCAGATGCCAAGCCTTTCCAGCAGTGGCCCTCCACCTATGAAGACAGGACTGCCTTAAGGTCGGCGCAGGGCAGATGCAACTGAGATCGCCCTTCAATCGGCAATGGTTTTGAATGGAGAGTTCAAGGGCTCGGGCAGTGCTGGTTCAGAGCAAAACAACACAAAACGAGGCGAGGCAGGGCAGGGCGGGGAAGGGCAAGGACGGCAGGGCAGGGATGGCAGGGTTAGTGCACAACCATGTCGTCTTAGGGCAAAGAAGGCAGGGCGGGCAGAGCCGGCAGGGTGGGCAGAGAAGGCAGGGCAGGGCAGGCAGACCAGGGCAGGGAAGGCAAGGCAGGGCAGGGAAGGGCAGGGTGGGCAGGGAAGACAGAGCAGGGAAGGCAGAGAATGGCAGAGAAAGCAAAGAATGGCAGGGCAGGGATGGCAGGGTTAGTGCACAACCATGTCATCTTAGGGCAAAGAAGGCAGGGCAGGCAGAGCCGGCAGGGTGGGCAGGGAAGGCAGGGCAGGGAAGGCAGGGCAGGGAAGGCAGGAAAGACAGGGCAGGGCAGGGCAGGCAGAGAATGGCAGAGAAAGCAAAGAATGGCAGGGAAGGCAGGGCAGGGTTAGTGCACAGCTGTGTTGCCTTAGGCACGAGTGCCTTACCGTACAGTCTTGGCAACAAGGTTCGTTGCTGCAAATGGCTCCTTGCTGAAATGTGCAACTCCTGGTGCAACATTTATTGTACCGACAATCCTGGAAGCACAAATCACACGGGCTATTCGTTGTGCTCAGGAAAGGGCCCTGGTGACACAGTAAGCGAAAGGCGACGCTGCCATTCTGGGCCTGGGGACCGACCGGGCCGTCTCCTGTGCGCACATGGCATCTGCACAGCCCCTGCCGCTTTGAACCGTGTGTTCGCGCGAGGAAGGAAGAACTCCAGGGGACAGGAGGGGGCATGAGGCCAGCTGGCCCGGCCGCTTTGCTCAAGCCGCACACGACTGCAGCGAGGCTGCGACACAGGCCCACGCGGGAACACCCTGGCGAAGCCGCCGCGTTTTCAAGCGGCTCGAGCAATTGCGGGGGGGGGGCTGCCTACCCAATGCCCCTTTTGTGCGGGGCCTTCCAGACCTCCCAGCCGCTTCCCTGTCCATAGGACGCGATGGGACGACCCATTCCAAAGCGAGGGCAGGAGCCAAATCCAGGTGAGCCAACCCGGCGAACACGCCCAGTGCCAACCTCGGCTGAACCGCAGTCACACTTCTCTCCCGGCTCCACAACGCCGTTCCCACAAAAGGACGAGCCTTTTGCCGTCTTCTTCTTGTAATACAGCTTTAAATTAGGCCTGTTGGAAAGGCAGTTGGGCGTCTTGAACTTGATGAAATTCTGGAAGTCCTCGATGCTGCAGCTGCTAAAGGCTTTAACGCCACTCGAGTGCCTGAATGCCACAAAATGGAGACCGTGAGACAGAGTAAGAGGGAGGCGAGGGTTGGCGGGAGGATTTCAAGTGCCGTTCCGTGGCCATCACCGTCGCTCCCACAGCGGCTTAAACTTAAAGCTACAAGTTATAGATTGCTCAGGAAAAATCATGAGCTTAAATGCCAGTGCGTCCACTGGACAGGAGATGGCAGAGTAAATCCTGTACAGCACCAAACAAGGCAAAAATAAAATATAAAATAAAATAAAATAAGAGTGTTGAGCTCAAGGCAGTGGAACATAAAGCAGGGCCTCAGATGCTAATCACAAGCTTCAGCCACTGTTAGAAGCATCTCGATCTTAAATATGATGATTTAATCATATTTAATAGTGTTAATCATTTAATATTCTTATTAAATTTAAATACAATTAAATAATTAAATTTTCTAATAATAAACTATATTTTTAAATTTTATATATATGTTGTGAGACAGTCCTTTGAGAGCATTCAGAGCAAGGATGTTTAAAAACCAATCCATCAGAAAATGTAGGGATGTGGGCGACGCAGAGCTGCCCTGGGTGGGACCAGCAGGACCCAATGAGGGGCATCTGCCCCTGTTCCCGGCCCCTACCAGCTGGGACAAAGACGGGGGCAGATCCGTGGGCTTCGAATTCGGGCGGGCCCCCACTGCCGCACCTGTTGCAGGGCTGCCACAGCGACTTGGGCTGATCTGGGGGGACATGGGGCCTCTGGGTTGGCCGGATCCAAAGGAAGGGGCCGCCACATCATGCCTTGCGTCGCCCTCGTCATCGAGGGGTGGGGGGCGGGGGGGGGGGCTCCCAGCACCCGCAGGGCTGGCGAAGGTACCCACACGGCGGCCGTGTTCATGACGCAGACGGGCCCCGGGCACGCACAGTTCTTGCCGTCGTCGTATTCCATGCCCAAGGCGAGGCCCAGCAGTTGCGCAAGGATGACGGAAAACGTCTCCATCGTGATCGCCTTTTGGTACTGGAAGAAAACGGCACAAGTGGAACCAGAGAACCGGTTCTTTCGCTCCGTTATGGAAACGAGCCTGTGAGATATATATATATTTACATCTTGCCTTTCTTCCTACAAGAAACCCAAGATGGCTTACTAATCCTCTCCCCCCTTATTTTATCCTCTCAACCACCCTGTGAGGTAGCCCATGTGGAGGGTCTGTGCCTGGTCCAGAGGCATCCGGGAAGCTTCACCGCTGAGGGGACGCTGGCCCTCCGGTCTGCGCCTTCCCGGCCCGACACTGCAATCCCGATACCACACTGGCCCCCGGGAAACATTTCGGGAGGGATCTCTAGGCACTCGGCCTGCTTCTGGAGTGCGGAAGGCCGCGTTCTGCACTGGTTTGAGCCCCGGTTCCATGAGGGCCAGTGGGGAGCCTGCGCAGGACTCCCACGGGGAAGGGATCCAAGGGAGGCCGCTGACACGGCCGGGGCAGGAGCCCGCACTCAGACCCGCCCGGTTTCCACCACCTTCATCGGGATACTGAAGGAGCAGCTCCTGCTTTGCATTTTTCGCTTCTTTGCCTGTTTTCTATAATCCCCAAGAGAGGGTCTTTTTCATTGCGATGCCAGTGCCCAAATCCAAACATCCAAACCCCGGCATCTAAATCCAAGCCAGCCACACATAAAATACAGTTCAGCGATACCACACCAGAGCGACTCCCGCGTCAAAATTCCGGAGGCACAGCTTTCCCGCAAATGTCGCTCCGACGTAATTCGGCTTCTCCCTGTAACTAGAACACAAGAGGATGAGTCACGACTTCCGAGAGACGGAAGGGTGCCCAGACACTGCCTTCCCAAGACCAAGAGCTCTCGGGGGCTGGCTCCCAGCCTCCTGCCTTACCAGTCCACTGGCTGACAGGGGGAACGGCAGGCATTTCTGGCTCGGCAGCAGGTTTTGGACCCGATTCTCTCCTGGGAATAGCAGGGACTGAGCCCGTTGAGCTGTGCTGTCTAGGGTGGGTGGCTGGCCCAAGAGCTTCCAGGGAGCTTCACGAACGAGTATGGATTCGAACTCGCATCTCTCTGGCCTAGCTCCAGCGTGGCGTCCGCCATCTCACCGTGGCTTTCAACCCGTAGCAAACACGTGCCACTTTTCAAGCTCAGCTATAGAAGTGCTGATTCCCTGCCTTTGCTCAGACGGCTGCTTTCCTGCCAGCGGCACCAAGTTTAACTTTACGTGTTTGGAAACGAGCATCTGGCACTCCCTCTAGGCAAGTGGGGGCAAGACGGAACACGTACCCGACACGCAGGTATGGTCCAAGGGCAACCACATTTGCTTGGACACCAGTGCTGCAAATTTCAAGTGCTGGTTGTACGTTTAGGGCAACAACTTTGCTCAGAGCAGATTATGGACTGCAGAATTATCATTCTTTTCAGCACAAAGCTGGCCCTGAGTCAGGCACTCCCGTGTCTAGCTTGCTCTCTCTGTCTCTGGGAGCACTCAATGAACGGGTGAAAAAACACCCCCTCCCCGAATAGGTTTATTTCCATCGCTCTGGGGTGTTGGGCAGCCCTTTCCATCTTCCCAGACCTTCAGGTAGTCGATTCTCCCTAAAACTGCTTCCACTTCTTTAAATACAATGCTCGAACAGCTACATGCTTTGTGCAGGTGACGTTTGGTTGATACTGGCAAAATACTCCGGAATGAAACCTTGCTGCAAAGATGGCGTCTCTGGCTTACTGGCAAAGAGGAAACATGTCCCAGGATGGCAGGGAAAAATGTTGTGTTCTTAAGGAAGCTCCAAACAGGCTTCTTAAAAAAAGAGGAAATTTTCTAGCACACAGAGGGGCATGTTCTTTTTCTATGGGATTGACAGTGAGGTCGCACATCAAAATTAATTGATGCCATCTTCACTTTCCACTGCTACGCACCACAGTGGAAGGACTATACCACAAGGAGAAGACCATATCCTGGCACCCCATCTATGGAATCTACTCCCCAGAGATATTCATCAAGCACTGTCCTTATACATATTCCGGCACCAGACTAAGACACTTTTATTTAAGGAGCATTTTAATTGTTGATGGTTTTAGTTGGAATTTGATTGTAATTCTATTTTAATGCAAATTTTAGTGTTCTGAATTTTGACATTTAAGATAATTCCAATCTGTTGTTACTTGGTGCTCCTGCTATGTTATGTTATTTATTATTGATATTGTGGTTTAAATTGTGTTTGTTTGTGTTATTTATGATGTTTTATTTTGCTGGGGTTATATAAGCTGTCTAGAAAGCCATGTGGCCATGAGATGGCATACAAAACTCAATGTATTTTTTGTATTTTTGTATTTAATGGTAATTTATTATGTGCTATTGTATTTCAATGTATTTTATTGTGTTGTAAGCCGCCCCGAGGCTTCGGCAAGGGGCGGCATAGAAATGTTATAATAATAATAATAATAATAATAATAATAATAATAATAATAATAATGTGTTAAATAACAAACAAACAAATCCATTACATGCAGAAAGCCGCTTCCCTGTCTTTCCAGGCAAGACTAGCAAAGAACCCATAAGGGAGAGCCCATCACTGTGGCTCCAGGGGGAAATGGACCCACGTTCTGGTCCAAAGCAGCTTCTTATGAAGAAGGCATCCACAAGATGTTATTTTCCTTTGTGTCCCATGTTTGGGTAATGTCTAACCCTACCCATATTTTGAAAATGCAGTTGTAAAGCATGGTTTGCCATGTGTAGGTATGTGCATTTTTTTTAACAAAACCATTTTAATATGCTGAAGAATTAGAAACATCAGACACCAGAGCACTTAAGATGGGATAATAGTCCTTCTTACACAAACAGAAACGCCAGATCGTGAGGCCGTAGAACAAGGTACGAATTTTTCCACTGTAAAAACCGTCGCAGTAACTCATCGGGCTCCCCTTCCGTGGAGATTTTATTATGGTCTGTCCAGAACTCCAAAGAGGAGAGAACAACCGTTAAGTTGAGGTCAGAAAATTTCTGAAAAGATATGAAAAAACATGTGCTCGAGGATGTGTTGTTTACCGTGGCATTGCTTTACATTCTGCAGGCCCCGCCATAAGGAGCCGGCACCCGGCAGCTTCGTGACTCTGCACGGCCTGCGCCAGGACCGGAGGAGCAGGAAACGGGCGGCGACTTACGCTGTTGACAAAACCGATCAGCTGCGCGATGCTCTGGGTGACTTCATTGCGGTTGCTCCCCATATAGTTGTACTGAAAAGGAATGCATTCCCATTTTAATTTCTTCGGCCCTTAAAACAGCAAAGGCCACTGCTGCTGTTATTCTGTCATCCAGGATGGCTCAACCAGTCCGCCTGCACACCTGACTCCCCACTCCATGCAACATCAGGTGGCTCACGCAAGGGCACCTCCTCCCACAGGGCTAGCGCCTTGCAAAGTCAGGCGAGGCAGCAGAGGCTGTCTGCTCAGCCAATGTGCCTGGCACATGGGGAGCCCCAGAGGAGACTCTGCCACGTGCTCTGCCCAGGGGAGCTGAGGTGGGCCCCAGGGACAATGGCAACAAGCTAGTTCCCCCACCACTGACACGGGGATGATGGAACCATTGTAGAGGAAGAAAAGTAGTCTCTCTCTCTCTCTCTCTCTCTCTCTCTCTCTCTCCCTCCCTCCCTCCCTCGCTCCTACCACCCCTCCCCCCCTCCCCCCCTCTCGGCTCTGCAGCAGCTTCTGCTAACCAGGAACGGGGAAGGTCTTTTTGCACCCCTGCGATGGAGCACACAGGGTGCAGATGGCCAGGGTCCCTGGCTCAGGGCCTTGAGAAAGTCTCTGGGTTCATGCCCCTGTCTGAGCATCACCCGTCAAAAGGCCCAGCGCAGCTCTTCCGTGTCTCTCACCTTAATGGATGTGCTTTTCGTGGCAAGCTTAAAGGCAAAAGAAGTGCTGGGAAAACACGGGAAAGTTACACGTGGAAGAGCACGTTGCTCAGATGCTCCCTGCGCCGAAACACACATGCCAACTACGGTACAGTTCCACAACCAAAGCGAGGCGACTGCACCAGAAAACCTCACCCAGAAGCACCTTCCATCTTCGGCCAAGGGACTGCTACTCAGTGACGATACAGGCCTGACTCATTTTACCTTGGTAGTAATTGCAGGCCAGCATTGACCGAGAGGAAGCGGCTAACCCAAGCTGACCCAGCAAACAAGGGTTTTAAGCCAGGTCTCCGCACTCTCTCCCTACCACAATATCCCCGGGGTTAGGTCTTCCTAAGATTCAAGGGACAGACATATTTGATGCTCGGAGACTTACCAAATCCTTGTTCAAAACAATGTATACTTCTATGTATCTGTGCATTTTAGTGATATCGGCCAGTGGCTGAGGACAAACATAACAAGGCGCTTTGAGTCACTATCGCTGAACTACATAAATGAGAACTTTCGTAATGCTGAGAGCATGCAAAATGTTTGGCTATTTAGCAATCCATCCCTCAACCCGAGCCCTGCAGCAAGCATCACTCTTGACAGTCCCTGCTCCAAAAACTCTTCCTACCGTCCAAGCTGCCCAGCTCGCTCTAGCGCTGCTCGCACTGCCGTTACTGCTGAAAGGTCATGCACGTCCCCAACTCACTGCCTTCTGGACCTTTTGGAGCCCCCGTCAGCCCGGACGGAAATGTCCGAAGGACCGGGAGGGCACCAGGCTGGGGAAGGCTGAGCATCCCTTTGGCTCAAGCATGGCAGTGCTCAATTTCCATGCCTCCCGCAGTGGGGAGCAGGCGTTGTGTTCAGAAGATGCCGAAAGCAGCCCACGTGCGCCCAGGCACACTCTCAGCCGGAGCCTCTTCTGCTGGGGAAGCACCACCACGAGGCCAGTGCGCCCTTCCTTGCGGAGCAAAGCCAGGAGGGCAGCACCGAGGGGCGTGAAAAGGGCAGCTCCACCTGGCTGCCCGCTGCCATTTCTAGGGCTAACAAGGCTGCCCAGAGGCGCAGCTGGAAGCATCGCCCGACATCGCCCCCTGCACAGCCATTCCTTTCCCCGAATCCCAGGGATTGAGAGGGGCAGCTGGAACGGCAGAGGACGGGGAGGTGTCTCTCTTATTTATCCGTCAGCACGTGGAATGCTTCCATCTCATCTTTTGCGCGAAGGATCAGAAGGCAGCTTAGCTTGGCAGGCCACACAGCGCACCCAGAAGCTCAACCCGACCCGGCCTGGGGGTCTCCAGTCCCAGGCCGATGGATGGGGTCAAAGCACGCTTGCTCTCTCTGCGATCTCTGGGCAGCTGGAAGTAGGAGCTGAGGGTGCTTCCTAGCAGCGAGAGAGGCGTAAATCCCCTGCGGCTGCGCCTCCGCAGCTGGGCTCCCCATCACCGTGACGTTCTCCTGTGGAGGGAACAGGCACAGGCTCCCCAGGGCCCTTGTTCCCCTGACCATGGGCAGAGTGCACTTTCCTTCTGCCCTGCAGTTCCAGGACAACAGTTGCTGCAGCCCAAGTAATTCTGACTCCAGAACTTCGGCCAGCAGACAAGATGTGGCGGAAATACTGCGAGCCAAGAAACAGCCGTGGCTGCAGTCATTCTGAAGCCCACTTCCGAAATGCAAGGAAAAGGTTTCGCACTCACGACGGTATCCGAAAGCAGCTTATAGGACACATTCCCTCTCCTCTCCTCTCTGTTCATTGGGCTGAAATCTTCTGTCCAAAGTGGGCCCTCCAGGTTTTTGCTAGTGATTTGATAAATGAGGTGTTCATATGTGCTTGAAGACTCCAGATGCTCAATTCCATAGCTGATGTTCTCAAACTGGAGCAGCCCCCTGAAAAAAAGCAAAGAATTAGTCACGGCTGAGAGGCTTCCTAGCTGCTCCCAAACCCGGCACAGCCCCATTCCCGCCTCTCCTTTGCACCTCTCCACTCTTTCTCCGCTCTTGGGGGCCACGGGATCCCTGCCCAGGGCTTTCCCCTCACCTCCAACACTTTCCACCACCTCTCCTGCTCCTTTCCCCTTTGGCTCCCCTTGATGCCTGGAAATGCCCTCCAGAACTTGGCCATGATGCTGGCTTTCCCTCTTCCTTCAACTCCTCCATCAACACTCAACCGTTCCAGCAGGGTGGCTGCAGTGGCGAAATCACAGCGCCTATGATCAGCACTGCGGAGTGTCCCTGAGGCTCACAACGGGCAGGCTGCCAGTCCTGCTCATCCTCACTTTTGCCACGATTCATCAAATTTCCAAGTGAACCAAAGTGTGGAGAACAAGCGGTAGCTTCACATGCCTCATCCTACTCTCTCTCTCTCCTTCTCTGACAGAGGGTGCTGATCCGCAGTGAAGCACCCGAGGGGAAGGCAACAAAGTGAGGCCACAGGTGGAAGGAGTTGGAGACAGCTGGGCATGACTTATTCCGTTGCTCCTTTTATCGTGATCTTCACTTTGCTTCTACCACTTTGTCAGTACAGAAGAGACCTGGCAGATGTGACATTTTACATACCGCACCCTTTATCAGATTGGTGCCACCAGGTCACACCGAGAGTTGCTAGCTTTTGTACAGCTGCTCTTGCTTGCCAGCAGGTGATGTTAAAATAATATTATTTTAGAATTTTAATATTTAATGGGTTTGCATACTTCTATCTGCTGCTTTACCCTTGAAGATGTTTTATATATGGTTTTATTGTATTTTATATTTCTCTTTGTTGTGCTGGTGTATCACCAACACAAAATATGCATCTATACACTGGCAAGCTTTTGTAAAGCTACCAGAGACCCCCATAAATTGAGACTAGGGTATCAGTGAACTGTAATAATTTAATTTAAACTTTAAATTTGATTGTATCTACTGATCTTATTGCATTTTAAGGGGTTTTTTGAACTGATTTGTTTTAAGTATACTGGTATTTCACTGGTCTACAACCAAAAAAAGTCATCTATTCCAAGTGAAGCCACTTTTAGTATAAGTCACCCCAATGAAGCATCTGAAAGGCCAGGGATACTTCTAATAAGTGCACCTAGATTATGTGGATTGCTCCGGAACTGCGGAATGCAACAGGAGTGGGATGGGCCTTCCTGAATTCCAAGCATTTCTCTGAAGCATCTGGAGCTTGGCTTCTACCTGGGCTGCATGGGAACACACCTGAGCTGCCCTCCCTTACCTGAGCCCCGAACAAGTGTTGAGTATTGCAACGGAGTTCGGGAAACCTTCTATATAGCCTTGATAGAAGCATTCACCCTAAAGGTGTTTTTTAAAGGAAAAAAAAACAGTATACCGAGCTTAACTGTCTGAGATTCTTTATCAATCCGACTTCCTTGCAGCTTAAAAAACAAAATACTCACCTTCCTGCTCCACAATTTGTCTCCCACCTGCCACAATTCTCCCAGAATCATGATTTTAAGTATCTTCTACTGTCTAGGCTGGTATGCCAACTCCAGCCACTCTTAAACAGAGAGAGGCTGGCCACAGTTATCAAATGATTCATAATCTCCATGTCTGGGCTACTGCAAAACCCACTGTACAGAAGGAATCCCTTACCTAAAGTTTGGAAGAAGCAACATAAAAACAACAGCCAGATTACTAACTGGGTCCAGGCACATGGATTACTTTTCCCAGTCTGGACAAAGTTTTACTGGTCCCGATTCAAGCTGCTAATTTTAACTGCAAAGCTCTAAATGACTTAGGACTTAAGAAAGCTCAGGGGTTCCTCTTTCCACATAAACCTGCCTGGAAATTAAGATCTGTGCAGCAGCCCTTTGGTGGGTCCCTGCTCCATCTGTGACAAGATGGAGGGTGGCCTGGACTTTTATGCTGTGGCACCCCATCTCTAGACCATGTTCCCCAAAGAAGCTTGCTTGGCGCCATCTCTGATTTCCTTTGGGGACAGGGTGAAAATGTATCTTCTTCTACAGGCTTTTGAGGGAGCTTAATAAAACTTCCAGATTTATCTTTTTTTAAAGTTATCTCATATGGCAATATTATTCTACCACATCAAATGTCACTGTTGTCTTAACATTTACTAAAGCACTTTGGGAGCTATAGATCATCAAAAGCAGCATTTAAATAAACAAAGAAATCCTGAAACTACATCAAGAAGCTGCAAGATGCATGACGGAACCCTTACCTGAATACGTGGGGAATTGGGATGCACAAAGCCCCCTTGGTTGTAAGTATAAACCATAAAGTCATTTGGCAAAAATGTTCTGTGAACAAAATACAACAACATTGCATTCAGGTCGCTGTTTCAAAATGGACAAGTGGCTGCCTCGCCAGGTTTGCTGAAGAGGAAGCATGATGCTGGGCCATCTTCCCATTGGGATCGTGACTAATAGAAGCGTCCAAAATGAGCAGCCAGAGCTAAGCAGAGAGGCCAACAGGCCATCAGCATGACAAACGGGTCGGCACAGCAGTGGAGTTCCCCACACTGGGGCGTGAAGGCCGATGCCTGCGGTGGAGGGAAGGGGCATTTGCCACAGGAGATCCTCCATGGGCAGTGAGCGGCTTCCCTCTTCCCCCAGTGGGCTGAATGGGGGCCATTCACTGCTGTGAAAGAAACGCAAGCCATGAACAAGGTTCTAGATCGAGAGAGGAATTACTACCACTCTATATGACTCTGGTGCACCTGCAACTGGAGTCTTACGTTCAGTTTTGGGCCCCTCATTACAGGAAGGATATAGCCAGGTTGGAGTCAGTGCAGTGCAGGGCCACAGGGTTGGTGGCCGGTTTGCAGGGGATGCCGTATGAGGCGAGACGGAGGGAACTGGGTCTCTTCAGCCTGGAGAAGAGGAGACTCAGAGGGGGTCTGTTGGTGACATACAGGTATGTGAGGGGATGTCACATGGAGATGGGTAGAGACCTCTTCTCCCCTGCAGAGGAAGGCAGGACGCGCTCCAACAGAACAAAGCTCAGGGAGCCAAGGTTCCATTTGGATGCCAGGAAGCACTTCCTGACAGTCAGGACCCCGAGGGTGTGGAATGGGATTCCATGAGAGGTCGTTGAGGCCCCATTGGTGCGGGTGTTTAAAGATAGGCTGGACATGCACATGGTGGGCATGTTGTGAGTGGAGCTGGCTGGAGCCGGGGGTCAGACTAGATGGCCCGGGAGACCCCTTCTGACTTGCTCGGTTTCTATGTCTCTAAGGTCTGAGGGCTGCACTGAAATTAGATGCACATTACAGGGCGTTCCTATACGTTCCTAGACTCAGAAGCAAGTCTCATTGAAGCCAGTGTGGCTTCCTCCCAGGCCTGATACATAGCAGATGCTAGTAATAACACTCAGTATTTTTCAAGGGTTTAAGCAGCCAGGAAGAGAGGAGAGAGGAAACCTTTGAAGAGGTAATCAGCCGACAGATGACTAGAAGCCAAGTTCAGACGAAGGAATTAGGAGCGGGACTAGGACCAAGCATCACTTACTGCTGCTTCAGATGAACGGTGTAATTCTTCTTATTTATCATAATAATATAGGTCTGCATACTCTTGATCACACAGAACAGACAAAGAAAAAAGACAAATCATCAGTAGATTATTTTGATTTTCTCCTATTTCACTTGGTGATGCTGGTGGTGACGGAGCAACTCCACCCTACGGAGGGGCAGGGTGGGACCTGGAAGTCATCACAGGAACATCAGAAAAGCTGGGCTGGGTCAGACCAAGGGTCCACCTAGTCCAGCAGCCCACACTCGTGGTGGCAAACCAGCTGCCCCCAGGATCCCTCCTGGCCAAGCTCTGCAACTGGCACGCCACTCCTGCGAGAGGAGGAAGGAAGATGGGTGTGGGAGTCCACCACCAGCCACTTGGAATTCAGTTCCTTTGTACTAGTAATTAGAACAGTCTAGTAAGCTGTCCTTTCCAGCAATTGTATTTATCTTCTTAACGGAGTAGTTCTTTTTTCAATCCAGCAGCAGATGATATTCTTTGAGCGGCAACAATTGCCAGGGGACTTCTCTAAGAAGAGGCTGTCCATGTGAGAACAAGAAGGAAACTACCCATCTGGAGTAATTCCAGGTAAGCCTTTCACCATACAGTTTCAGGGTAGGAGTGCATACAGATGCAAACATTTCCAGTTAGCCTATTCAATTTGTATATAAAAAGTTGTGCCTCTCAATCCAAACTTCAGTCAAAAAGTGAAATATCTTAGCTAGCAAAACTCGGCTTGTTTCATTATGATTTGCCTGAACGTTCTACAATGCAAATTTTCAACAACTGTACACAGTATCTTAATTCCAAATACCTCATCTTCTGCTAGGCCATCTTCAGTTATATTGGATGGTATCTTCTTTGGATATGTGGTATGTAAAACCTTTTGACAATCTGGAGAAAAAAAAACAAGCAAAGCAACAGTGAGCCGTCAACCATCATTTAACAATTACACTGTGCAGGAATTTGTTTTTAAAGTCCTTTCTCCCAAACTTACTTAAGCATTATCCAAAAGCCTTTGGTACCGTAAAAGGCTACCAAATATATATTGTGGGAAAAGATCTCCAGCTCCATGAAAACTTATGTGTCAATATATATGCACACATGGCCTGATTTGTACATGCTCAGGTGTACACATAGTCCAAGCTATGTTTAAATTCATTTTCTGCGCATCCCTGTGCCTGCTAGATTTAGTCTAGACATGGGCAAATCCAGAGCCCCAGCTACAACCTTAGGAAAAACACAGGGTAAATCCGACCCTGCTTCCCCCCAGCCTTGCGGCCAGGTGTTCCCTTCCGCACCGGCTCCGAAGTCACAACTGCAACTTCCGGGGTAGGGGGCGGTGGGGAGCACTCCCAGAGCTGGGCAGGGGCGATGCTCCCGGGCACCCGAGGCATCCAGGGGGTGCCCTGCGCCAGGAGCACAAGAGGGGGCAAACACTGGCCTCCAAATATGTCGACGCAAGCCAGCAATCCAGCACGAGCAGCCAAGGCCCCGGGGCCCCAAGCCCCGCTCAGTCCCGCAGGGCGCGCCTCTGGTCTTTCGCGGACGCCCAGCGGCCTCCCTCGCAGGGTTGTTGCGAGGATCAAGGGGCGAGGAGGCGGGTGACCTGTGCGGGAAACCGGGCCGCTCTTCGCTACTCCGCCTCGTAAGCGATGCCTGCTCCCTGCACCGGCAAGCGTGGCCCTCGCCCGTGCGCGCTTTGTGCACCCGAGTCCGGGACACGCGCCTGAGCCGCACGGGGACGCTCCGCGGGCGAGGGGCGCCGGGCCGGGCCGAGGCGAGGCGAGGCCCTGGCGCCCCCGGGGCCGGCGGAGGCGGATGCCCGGGCGGGCGGGCGCGGTCCGGGGACGCGCACTCACCGAGGCGCGCCAGGAGGCCGGCACCGAGGAGGAGCAGCCCCAGTCGGAGCCTCATGGCTCGCGGCGGCGCGGCGCTTCCCGGCCGCGCGTTCGGCGCTCGCCCAACGGTCCGGCCCGCAACGGCGGCGCGAA